AACATTTACAAACCTACATACAGGGGTGTTAATTTTAAGACTTGCCACCCCTATCTCGAGGTTGAAAACTTTTCGAAAAAATCCCTGAAACACATCAACTATAATTTGAAGGGGGATGAGTTTTCATGCATAATACATCTCCCTCCTTGCAACTCCCCAGACTCCAGATTAGTCCAGATCCACCCCCTAGAAAATCTCAAATGGGAAGAGGGATCAAGTGATGATGAATTGCCCTATTCATTATTATCTTTCCAATTTATGTGAGTGTCTTTAAGAATGGTTTTATGAGCACAAATAAATTTATGACTTCATCAACTCACTTGGATCGAAAATGTTCACGTGCAAATGAAAAAAATTAAGCCGCACCCTTTCAGAGTCAAACTTCAATGAGAAAGTGGATCGAGTATATGTGATTTACAGTGATGATGTATCGCTTGACCCCCCTTCCCATTTAGGATTTTCTAGGGGGTGACTTTGAGGGCTGGGGGGTTGAAAGTGGGGAGGTGAATTTTGTATAAAAACTTCAAATAAGTTGACGTGTTTTCTGGATTTTTTCGACAAATTTTCAACTCCGAGATAATAGGGGTGGTAAGTTTTAAAATGAATACCCTGTATATACTATCAAATATCAATGAAATATTTGAGCGAAAGCGAAATTTTTCTCATTTTTCTAAAATAAATAATATTTTCGAAAAACTGCATTGTTTCTGTTCCGAAAAGGTTTGACCCGAGTAGCTCTAGGACTATTCTCGCAAAGAGATGTTCACTCTGGATGCTATGTAATATCAAAAATCTCCATTTACACTTTTAACAAGTATTGCATATTGCATTGTCTGTATTTCTATTTCTGATTGATGATAATAGCTTATGTCAGTTAATAAACGAAGTAACAAGATCATCCACCCATAGATTTAGTAATAACGAACCAATCGTATAATGTGGTGTCAAAAGTATGTCACATACCTAGAATAGCAGACCATTACCACAACTTGAGTGACAGCCCGTGTAATAAAGGAATTCATCGTCAAAATGTCACTAGCGGCCATTAGGCAATTCAATCCATCTGTCAAAAAGGAAAATTCAATGTGGCGTGGCGGCCAAGCAAGTTTGTTTTGGTTATGTTTTCATGCGTATTTTAAATTATTTTTCCTACGAGCGTGCGCAAAGTAGTACTTTTCCGCACGCATTTCGGTTCTCAAAGTTGCACTTTTCCGCACTCAGTGCGGATACAGGCCTTATCCGCACTGAGTGCCGAAAAGTAAAAATAATTGTCAAGCAACAATAAGTACACCTGTCGACTTTGACACATGATGACAAATTTTTCCTCTGTTCCTGTTCCAGCTAACATCTATACCTACAAACACCAAATTTAATTAACTTCAACACATTGTCAGATTTGTTTTCTATATATATGCATCTACAAACTATCTCATCAAATTTATAGCATTTTCCATTTGTCGAAACAGGGCAAAAAAATGTATCCTTATCCTTACATGTTACATGCTTTTAGAAAAAGATGCGGATGCACTCAGTGCGGCACTGATGACAAATGGAAATCGCCATTAAACGCTTTAAGATGAAGAGCTCTGACGATGATTTTCTGTTATATTTTTTTTTTGTTATGTAATTTTTTGATAAATGCATAGGTTCCCTTCAAGTTAATTAAAAATAATTAAACAAATTATCGTTTTTTTTTTAAATTTTTGTTGTTACCTACCTGATATGAAGCTCGTAGGAAAAATTTTGTTCCTAACACGTGCGCAAAGTGTCTTTTCCGCACGCAAACACGTATCCGAACTCCGCTTCGCGTCGTTCGTATAACTGTGTTTGCGTGCGGAAAAGTAACACTTTGCGCACTTGTTAGGAAAATAACTATTTCCTACAGCCGTGCGGAAAAATCGATTTTCCGCACTGATATGCGTGCGGAAAATGAGTTTTCCCGCACGGTGCGGTAAAACTTTTACCGCACGCATATCAGTGCGGAAAAAGTTTTTCCGCACGGCTGTCAGTGCGGAAAAAATTTTACCGCACTGATCTGTCAAAAAAAAAAAAGAAAAATTTACATTTTTACGCCTGTAGGAAAAATATTGTACCTAACACTTGCGGAAAATATTTTTCCACACTCGGCTGCTTCACCGAACTCCGCTACGCGTCGTTCGGTGAACGGCAGCCGCGTGCGGAAAAATTCATTTTCCGCACTTGTTAGGTAAATAGCTATTACCTACGAGCGTACGGTAAAGTGCACTTTACCGCACGTATTTGCAAATGGAAAGTATCACTTTACCGCACACTATGCGGTAAAGTGCACTTTACCTCATAGTGTGCGGTAAAGTTAACTTTACAGCATAGTATGCGGTAAAGTAGAATCCAAAGTGTGCGGTAAAGTGCACTTTACCACATAGTGTGCGGTAAAGTAGAATTTGATATTTATGATCAAAAATCCTCTCTTTTTCAGAAAATGGATTTTTGATCATTTCTAAATCTTATCTAATTCCATTAATTAATCTGATACACTAATTAATTTTATCAATGCCTTTTTTTGGAGATGTAGATGCTCATAGGTAAAATTTTGTACCTAACACATGCGGAAAGTGCCTTTACCGCCTCAAAATCATTTTGAAAATCATAGCTAAAATTCCGCTCTACACCGCACGCCTATGACCTCCGTCAGAAATAAATAAATAAAATAAAATTTCGGCGCTCCTGCCGTTCAATGACAGCGTTATGACAAAATGGTAACCCCTGGCGGCGTGCGCATAAAAGATGCGCGTGAGAGTTAGCCTGCTGATTGTTTTTGTATATTATGCTGTGCCATTACGTTATTGCCTTAAGGCCGTTTTACAGCTTGCAATTCTTTCTGCAATATGCAAGAAACTTGAACGAGGGCATGCGCAGAAGATTGGTTTCTGCAAGATTCTTGAAGCTTGAATGGCATTGCAAGCAATCGGTTTGGTGCCATTTTTCTTGAAGGTTTTCGTGCAAGCTGGGGAATTTTTAGCAAGTATGATGCTTAAAGTTGCTGCTATTGCTTTCTTCTTTTTATATCGACTTATAATCACTTTTTTTATTTTTGGAAAATGCAAACATCAACAACACAACATTAAAAACAAAAAAGTATGGTTGAGGTTAGAGAGAGAAACAAGTCAAATTGCAAGGTGTAAAACGACGTGCAAGAAATCTTGAATGCAATTTTTTTGCATGCAAAAAATTGCATTCAAGTTTTCTTGCAAGCTGTAAAACGGCCTTTGAAAGATGAGTTTTTGAGACCTGCAAAACTCCACCGGTTGGAGATGGCTTAGGGGTGAAATCCAATAAAATCTAGTTTGTTAAAGGCCAAATTATGGACTGACTGGTAAACGTCTGGTTGTTACCTAGCAGGTACTTTCTATGCACTAGAGAATAGAAAGTACCTGCTAGATAACAACCAGACACTTACCAGTTGGTCCATAATTTGGCCCTAAAAGACATATAATATTGTTTTTCCCATCTAATTGATCGTAACAACTGAAAACTCTATGTAGGATTAATGTAGATGATTTTCTGAATATTTTACTGTTCTCCAATTTTCTTGCAAGGCCGTACAGGGCTGGCTTAGGGGTGAAATCCAATAAAATCTAGTTTGTAAAGACATATAATAATATTGTTTTTCTCATTTAATTGATCCGTAGCCACTGAAAACTGTATGTAGGATTATTAGAGATGATTTTCTGAATATTTTACTGTTCTCTAATTTTCTTGCAAGGCCGTACAGGGCCATGCATTGCCGCATTAGTTATATATTCCACATGTAGAATAAAGGTAAATTTTTGATCAAATATGACACCAAGATCAGTGATTTCGGTTAGTCGGTTCAACAGAGCTTGATCAATAGAATCTCAATCTATTATGACTTAGTATGTTGCACTTACACATTTAACCCGCCAAGTCCATTTTGTACACACCAATTGTTTATAAGATCCAAGTTGCTTTGCAGATAGATGCAGTCATCAATATTTTTGACTCTATGGAAAAGTTTTAGATCGTCTGCGTATGCAATTTTATCACATTTAATTGAATTAACTAGGTCATTAGTGAACAGTACAAAAAGCTGAGGTCCTAGGTTGGAGCCTTATGGAACACCCGAAGTGGCGTGAAAAGAGTATAAACTAAAGCCCTCATATCAAACGAATTGGGTTCGCCCTCGGAGATAGGACTTGAAAGTTAATACTAGTCTATCAGAAAAACTGAATGTATACAGTTTGTTCAATCATATAAAGTGATCGATACTATCAAACGCTTTACGAACGTAGATAACATCCACCTGACCCAATGAATCAAGCAATTGACAAATACACTGAGATAGACAACAAAGATTAGTCACACATGATCTGCCGTTGACAAAGCCGTGCTGGTACTCAGATATTTAGCCCTTCCCCTTCACTTGATTCGATATAATAGACGTGTGCAACATAATCTCGAACAATTTTGAAAAGTTACAGAGAATTGAGATTGGTCGGTAGTTTGTAATCAAGGCAGAATCGCCTTTTTCAAGATTGGGGTAATTCTGGTAGTTTTCCAAATATCTGGAAACACCTTTGTAGACAGTATTAAATTAAAAATGTAAAGTATGGAGTCGATTAAAGCACCAACACAATCCTTGACAAGGAAACTCGGCACGCCAACAATACCAGCAGTAAACTTATTGTTCTTAAGTTTTTCACATGCATTAATTACATCGCATGTCAAGAGCAGATGGGATTGAGTCCGAGTATACACTTTGGAAAAATTGCCCAACTGCATCCACAATATTCTTTGGATTATGTAGTTTTTGGTTATCAGCTGTTTTAAGTAAGTGCGGAAAAATTCATTTTCCGCACATGTTAGGTAAATAGCTATTTACACATAACGGGTCTTCAGGGCCCGTTACATACATATAATAATTTGTAAAATAGACATACTGCTGCAAAATGTGTGTTCGCTTTTAAGAAAATTACGATAAAATAAATCAACACCATAACATATAATAAATTTTTAATTAAATATACGATTATACATGACAATAGTAATTATTATAATAATATATTGGTAGGAGCTAACAATTTCAATCTTATATCTATATACAATATAGTATCATATTCAATACAGCAATCAGATTATTATTGAGAAGTTAAAAAAAATATTGAAATTGATTAACTAATATGAAAAGAATTGATAGACCGTCTCTTAGAGTTAGACAATAATTAAAAACATGACTAGAATGAAAAATCGAATATAGGATTTGTAAAAAGCGAAAGGTGATTTCAAAAAGAAAAAATTGGTATAATAATAAAATCACAATAGGAGACACCTCTTGTTGTAAATAAAATCATATAAATCACAATGCAGCAATTAAAAACTGTTTGAAATTAATCAATTCACAAATTTAAAATTCATTTAAGACATTAAACAAATGAAACATTCTGAAGCGGTACACATTTTGTTGAGCTAAATATAGGATTTTTTTAAATTCATCTATCTACTAACAATAATAATAGATAATACACACCATATTATTATAGATAATACTATAGTAAATACAGTTAAAGTAAAACATCAATAATACATAATCTTTTAGCTGTTATCCTTGCGAAATTCCAATAAAAAATATTTTGCCTGGTTTTTTATTTCGTAAATTTCCTCATAATTATCATAAGGTTCATTATGATTATCAAAGCCACAAACAAGAATTATGCAAGGCGATTTAGCATTTTTCCAATCTTCGACAACATGAGGTCTAATATCGCAGCAAGTTAAGATAAATTCGATTGGTGGAAATGAGTTGATAACCAATTTCAATAACCTTTATCAACACCCAATTCATGGAAATTCAAAACTTATTCTCGTGACTTTTGAACTTCAATAATTCAAGTATATCAAAACTATGGGGACTTTGATACGTAATATTGGTATATTTTCATAATAGCAAATTAAATAACGGAATCTATAAAACATATAAACATTTATATCTCTTGCAAATTATGTGGTTTTATCTTTGTGACGTTCCAGTTAAAGTTCATCACAAATTCAAACTAATTAATTTTTAAGAATTATGTTTTTAATTTATTCATGATAATATTGAAGATCCTTGATTGGATCCTTTTTTTTATCAATTTACTTGAACCAAATTGAATTTATCGTTAATCCTATAATAATTATCCAGAATTTCATTTCATAGGCGCTTAAATATCTGCTTTTAGTTACTTACCTACAACAAAATTGTCTAAATGTTCTACAATCTCCCAAAAAATCTTAACAAATACTGTCTGTATATATAACTAGATAATCACGATAATAAAATCAAACCATTTTAGTGATGACCCAATAAAGTATCTCTGTCGGGCAACTGTCTAACTTTCATGCTTCCATCTACTCCACAAGAAAATAATCTTGAGTGGGAGTCGATCTGAAGTTGAGTTACTCCTTGACCAATATTTTTGAAGAAACTTCCTCGGGCATGTTCGGCAGGCAAAGACAAGAGAACGTTCGGTACTGCCACTCCCCAAATCTAAAAATAAAATTCCGTTTTATTAATCTATTATTTTTAATAAGATAATGAATAAACGTGTCTTCAAGTTCAAATGTCAATCTTTGACACTAAAATTATCTATTGGCTTGCTGGAGGAATATTTCCACAGAGTATGTGCTCATCATTTTTTATAATAAAAAATAATCTCTTACGTTTTTATTGCTTAAATGCTGATAAAAGCTATTTGAAATTTGAAGAAAATGACTTGAATTGTTTATACGAAACATATATGTAATCCATATTAAAAATGCTTATTGTATCGACAGAATTAAGATGTTTTAAAAAAGGTATATTTCTTTTGAAAATGGGATAGCTCAAAATAATTAATACTCTACCATGCCCCTTTAAAATCCGAATTAGGCTTACAAGAATCCAGTAGAAGGAGAAATTATAATCTTGTACTCCTTCTAGGGATTATAAACTGTAGAGTCTCATAGAATCTTTTACGACCAGACCATTGTATTGTAGGCCAAATTAAACTTTCACACTTTTTCATCTCTGATAACTGTTTATGTATTACACTGATTTGATTTATATTTGGAGGGTTAGTAGGCTGCCCTGATCTCTGATAACTGTTTATGTATTGCACTGATTTGATTTATATTTGGATGGTTAGTAGGCTGCTCTGTTCTTGTGAAGCTGTCTAGTTTTAATCAAAAATTTTTAGACAAGACCGGACTTACGTTACTTTTTCTTATATGCTGCATTTGACGTCCTTGCAAAAGAAATTTGTTCCACTCAAATTTGAGGTGATATATTTTGTCATTAGATAAACTATCAGAAATACACATGCTAATGTGTGCTCTTTTAAATGCTCATCTTTCGGTCAATCCCTTTGAATGTTCATGTTGCTCATAAATGCGAGTTTATTTGAACAATATTCTTGGATTTTATTTTAGCTACTAATTGTTATATTTTATCACATATTCTCACAACTCTTTTTTATAATGAGTCAAAGTAAAAATGCAAAAAATACTCTACCTTAATGTCTCCATCAGCAGAACCTGTAGCAAAATAGTCTTCATGCGGATCAATTGCAATACATTTAACAGCACTCTCGTGCGCTTGGAATTTATGACGTATTGCCTTCGATCTGACGTCAATTAGGCAAACATCGCCTTTCTTTCCTGCAGAAATCAGCACCTGAAAAAAATAGTGATAAATTGACCAAGAAATATTAAGACAGATTTTTACTTGATGCTGTGGTGCAAAAACCAAGCTACTTGCTCCTTGATCGTGACATGTAAAAGCTACAACCAAGGCTTTATTGTGTGGTAAAATAGAGTCCCATATACAAACGTTTTTGTTTTCTGAACTATGGCCAGCTAAAAAAATAGATTAATAAAATAACATAAAATTAAAACAAAAGCATACCTGTAGCTAGTAAACTGCAAGAACCGAGGAAAACAAAGTCGCTTATACCTTTATTATGGCAATTGTGAGTCTGAAACATACTAAATTAATTCAAAGAGTTCATCGGTTAATGCCGTGCCGTTTTCTTACAAAGAATGGCCAAGTGGCATTAGCGCTCAGACCAACTTGGAACAGACTGAGCATGCCGTCTGAGTCGGCAACGCCAAATTTGTTGCCATGCTGTGAGAATCTGAGCCTAGTCACTTTGGCATATGTGCCTGGTGGTCTTGGTGTCGCCACTGGTTGCTGGTGACCCCATTCCCATAGGTGCACTGAACCGTCTGTGCCTCCAGTTAAATCTAAGAACAAATTAATTGTCACGAATTTGTGATTAAAATAATTTAAGTTAACTTACAAAGAGGAAGCAAAGGATGGGAAGTTATCCTCCTCACTCCATCCATTTTATGTTTTAGCACCTAAGGAAAAATGGATTTTAGATTTTTTGCTTTATGCTAAATTCATATAATCTACTATCTACATATAGGTATATTTAATAAATAGAAAATCAACTTTTTAATTCAGCAGTAAAATTTAATAAAATTTTTGTTAATTTAAATACATCTCTATTATAAAACTTTTGCGAGCATGCCTTTACTGTGCGTCAGCATGCATAAACCATATGGTATCAATATCGAGGAATTTAGGTATATTTTTTCAAATAAACTGAAAATAGATTTTTTTATTGAAATATTCCAATAATGATATTTTACCTCAAATTTGCATGCAACAATTACAATTTGAATTCAATTTGGGGTGCACTGCTTTGTTAACATAAAGCCAACTTTTGAACTAGATTGTGCTGCTGCTATAAATAAGAAAGAATCCACTAAAAGCGCAAGCGATAGTGGATCAACCAGCTAAATATCCAAAATAGCTCTACCATAATAAAACTATAGTGAAATAATGTACCAAGTTTCATCTAGACGAATGTCACTGACAATAACAGGAATTTACGAAAATCATAGCATATAACAGAAAATAAATAGAGAAAATACTGGAAAGGCATTGCCAGTAGGTAGAATTTATTAAATCTTAAAGTTGATTTGGTTCAGCCATTTGACCATTTGTTGTATTCAGCTTAAAATGTTGTCAGTGACATTATCTTAGCAATCAAACGTACGATCTAGGCAAGAAGAAATAAACGAGAAGCGATCTAAACACAAAAGAAGAAAATGTAGCAGTGTTAAGAACACACACCGGTCGAAGCATGTGTGCTGACCGAAGCAAGACGAGATGGACAAAATTGGCATCGTGACAGCCCGGGAAGCTTAACCCCTTCATCTAAGCAACCACATAATGAGTCATAATTAGTTATTGAAGCTTATATGCATTCTTAGTTAGTTATTTGATATATCCTAATATTAAGTTTTATAAATAGTAATACACACATAACCAACCAGGGACCAGTTTCTTCTACAGATATTAGGTTTAATGTCTCTCATGTTATTATCAACATTACATCGTCAATGAAGAAAATGTTCCCAAATACACTGAGTGGCGGAAAAAGTAGGACAATTACAAATTTTGAGAAAACAAGTTTTTTAATGGAAAAACTCATTGGTAGCAAATTGATAAAATTGCCAGTAAAATATACAGGGTGTCCACTTAGTGCGACATTGGACGATATCTCCTTACAGGGTGACATAAGAAAAAAAAATACAAAGTTATTTGATATTCTAATATGCATTAGTTAAAAATATTTTCGAATATACAGGGTGCTCGACAGCTAATTTCCATCCTCTTCTATCTATCGTCGCAATCCTCTGATGAGAGATTCCTTTCACTCATGGACTTTTGTATGGTCTTCTGCCATTCCAGTTTTGGTTTTCCTCGTTTTCTTCTACCTGTTGGTTGCCAATGCAGCATTTTCTGGGCTACCAGGTATTTGGCATTCGTTCTATGTGTCCGTACCAGGTAAGTTGTTTCCTTTCAATGACCTGAACTATCGTGCCTTCTATTCCCATTTGTTATTTTATATGGTCATTCCTCATTCTCTCTCTTCGTGAGATTCGCATGGATTTTCTTATAGCATCCATTCAACTGCTTCCACTTTCTTCTTTTGTCTGTCTGTAATACTCCAAGTCTCTGCTCCATATAGAAGGCTGCTCTTTATTATTGTCTCCTATATATTGAGTTTTCTCTTTGTTATTTCCTTGCTCCATTAGATTCCATTTAGGCATCCTATTACTTTTTTAGCTTCAACTATTCGCTTTTCTATTTCTTTCACATCCGTTCCGGTGTTGTCGAATGTGATATGTAGCTACTCATATTCCTTATATTGCAGACTTTCCTGACCATCGTCCACTTCCAAGTTTCCGTTCTGGGTGGCTACAAATAGATATTTTGTTTTATTCATATTAACTCTCAGGCCCTCAGGCACTATTCTTGATACTCTTCTATCAGCTTTCTAATCATATATTGCATGTCACTGGCCACTATGATCTGATTATCTGCAAACTGAAGCGTAAACAGGCACCTGTGTGTCATTTATCTCTATACCCATTTTATGTATCTTCCTGTTCCAATTTTTTAGTGCTACTGCTAAGTATATTTTGAAAAGCGTAGGAGAGATACAACATCCTTGACGTAGTCTTTTATTCTCTATAAATGTCTGAGTTTTTTACCTATCTTAATTCTTGATTTTGAATCTTAATACAGGGTGTCCCACCAGGAACCAAATCGATCCATATATGAAAAACTGCATGCAGAAAATTTTTGAAAATTTGACAGGAGGCAACCTGGCTAAAATATCTTCAACATTTCTTTGACCTGCCTATCCCGCAATCATGTTACACATCTGTTGGTACTAGAGCTGATTGCTATTGCCATGATTTCAAATCTGCAGACTTTGTATCAATAAAGAATTGCTTGGGTACTTTCTGCTAGGCTAACCTGTTTTCCAATCTGGATGTAGATTCCATGTTAAACACTTTTTATGATATTGTCTATAGAATAGAATAGAATAGAATAGAATAGAATAGAATAGAATAGAATAGAACTTTATTTTTCGATTTTTTACAAATGCGAAACATTGTATACCCAGCGGGTGTAAATCTCGTCAGAAATATATAATATAGAAAATAGATAAAATAGATAGATAAAAATATACACAATACATAATTTGAAATTAATAACAATAATAACCGTAAAATGATATCTCAGTCATACATAGAAACATTTTAAAATAAAAACTTTTACAAAGACATATTGTCATACATCACCAATTATACAAAAAAAATACAGAAAAAACAATAACGAGGATTTAAAATTTGACTAGAACTTGAGATCTGTTGGCAGAAAAGCGCATGAACACTTATCCAAGTGACCTAACCTCTGGATCTTCAAAATACTCATTGACTGTGTAGTAGGCCCTTGTGTTCAAGAATTTTTTAAGTTTTGCGGTAGGTTTCTAAAAACAACAGGTAGTTTATTCCAGATCTTCAGGATACTGTACTTGACTCTCCTCTGGATGAATGTAAAGCATGTAATGTTTGATGTAAGGTTTTGTTTATTCCTTGTTGAGTAGTTATGATTTATTTTTGAGTTCTCAAATAGATCTTGATTTTTAAGAATAAATGATATGCCTTCCAAGATGTATAGATTATAGATAGTGTGTACATTATTATTTATAAAGTGTTCTCTACAACGGTCCCTGTTTTTTAGTTTAAGTGCAGCTCTTAGGCATCTTTTTTGTAGTTTTAAAATCCTTGCAGCTTCACTTGAGTTTCCCCAGAAAACAATCCCATACCGTATTCTGGACTGCACAAAAGCATGGTAAGATGAGAGCGACACAGCCGAGCCAACATTATCTCTAAGCATTCTAAGAGCATGCACATATCTGCTCAATGATCCAGACAGTTTCACAATGTGCTCTGTCCAGTTTAGCTTCCCATCTAGCACCATAGGTACCCAGATATTCCACACAATCCTGTGCTACCAAGTCCTCCCCTCCATATCCTACACACAAATTTTCTTGCTTTGGTTTGAAATGTATTAGTTGGGTCTTTTTGACATTAAGGAGCAAGTTATTATCTTTATATCACTCTTCAAGTGTCGATATACATTTTGCAACTTTTTTTTTACTTGTTCTTCTGTTTTGTTGCTACAAATAATGATTGTATCGTCAGCAAACATAACGACCTCACTTTTTATTATGATTTCAATTTCATTTTTGTATAGGATATAGAGTGAAGGTCCCAGAACCGAACCCTGCGGAACTCCCTTTGATATTGTGGAGTAATTTGATCTTAAGTTCATTCCATTGTCATCCAGTTCTTCGACACATTGTTGCCTGTCTGTCAAGTACGACACAAAAAGTTTAAGCTCAGTTTCCCTCGCCCCAAGTAGTTCCAGTTTTTTTATCAACCTACCATGATCTACTTAGTCAAACGCTTTTGAGAGATCCAGACAAACAGCCACAGTGGTTTGTTTGTTGTTTAAAGATTCAAGGATTTTATTGAGAGCCTGATATACTGCTCTTATTGTATTCTTTCCTCTTCTAAATCCATTTTGTTTGTCTGACAGGATCCCCTGTTGCTCGAAGAAACTGGTAAGCCTTGAATGAATCACTTTTTCAAATATTTCGCTAACGTTCGACAGCAAAGATATAGGTCTGTAATTTTGAAGATCTTTTTTATCTCCCTTTTTAAATATTAATTTGACATTAGCATGTTTCAATTCTGAGGAAAAATGACCTTGCTTTAGACAAAAATTAATGACATGTACTAATGGTGGTGCTAGGTAGTCTACTGCTTCTTTCAGAATTTTAACTGGACTTTTATCCTTTCCTACAGAATTTTTGATAATTGTTTTTATGCACTTCAGGGAAAAAAAGTACCCTTTTAATCCCTGTCTTAAGGGAGTAAAGCGGGTCTTTTAATCTCCGGGATTAAATTTCACTTTATTTCCCGGGGATTAAATCTTTACTTTATTTCCCGGCGATTAAATTTTACTTTATTTCCTGGGGATTGAAAGTACCCTTTCATTCCCTGTTTTATTTAATCTCCGGGAAATAAAGTAAAGTGCATAAAATAGTGTATACACCTCAGGACTAAAGTGTTTTTTAATCCCTTGACAAATTATAGCCCTCCCTTCGGTCGTACCACTTTAGTCCCTAGGTGTATAATGTACTATTATTTCTGTTTCAGTCACAGACTCAAAAGATACTGAATTTTTTACAGGTGTCACTTTTTCTATTGTGTCCTTTTTGCTTTCTTGATTTATATTAGGGCAGATATTCAAAAAGAAATTGTTCACTGTGTTCAAGAACTGCACCTTGACTGACTGTTCAGTGTTGTCAAAAACTGTATGTCGTTTTTCATGTTTCTTCGTTATTTTGTTAACCACTTTCCATGTTGCTCTAGTTTTATTTTCTGCTCTTTCTATGAAGTTTTTATTATTTAGTTTCTTTGCTTCTTGCATTACTTTTTTCAGGATGTTTGAGTATTTATTGTAAAATTGCTTTGATTTTCTTCCCTTTAGATATTGTTCATACAGTTTTCTTTTATTTTTGTTGACGTTTTTATTCCCCTTGTTATCCACCTGTCTCCTTTCAGAACCTTTTGATTCATTTTTCTTTTAGGAAATAATAAGTTCAAGTATTGGCCGAGTATACCGATTCACGGACTCTACCGCGAAAACACGAACCGCGCGCGACATCACCGCGCACTGAAAACCGCGCGCGACATCACCGCGCACTGAAAACCGCGCAACACAAACCAGCGAAAAAATATTTTTGAGCAATTACCGCGAAAGTGAATGACCGCGCAAAACAAAACCGCGCAGGATACATAACAGCAAAATAGTTGAAACGCTTTGGGTCGAAAACCATATACTTAGGTTGTTGGAGTTATTGGAAATTTAATTTGGAAACGATCCTAGTTACAAATTCAGATCCTTTTCTCAACCTTCTCTTCTGTCATTTAAAAATGGGGTTTTTGGAGATCCCTATAAAGTTGTTTAATTCTAAAATTGAAATATTTTTCTTGCAGTAACGCTTTTTTTTATCTAAATATCTTTAAAACATTTACTATACAATTCTGTTATTTAAATTTGGTTTCTGGAGGTCTTCATATTACGGCGATAATAGCAGATATTATTCATTGATCTGTGTCAAAGGTCGAGAAGAAGATGGAAATTTCTGCCTGAAAAAGATCCTGCATATTGCATAGAGATCTGAGACCTTCAAAGATGATTTTTAAGTTCGGTATTGACATTTTCACGATTGATGCAGCAAATGAATAAATATGTATTTTTTTCTCTGATTGTGTATATAAAAATTGCATTGCATTTCAACAAACAAAATAAGAGATGTGCGGTTCTGTCATATAGAAAGGAAAATTTATTTTAATACTTTGCGCGGTTTTGAAACGCTATTTAGAATTTTGCGCGATAAAAGGTATTCGCGGTGATGTCACGCGGGGTTCGTGTTTTCGCGGTGAAGTCCTTGAACCGAGTATACCACCAAAAGCTGTGTATGCTGACTCTGCGCTTGTCGCCTCATAAACCCCACTCCATGTACACCTCTGAATTTCTTGCTTAAACTGGATCATTTTGTTTTTAGAGAATATTCGTCCAGAAAAAAATGTTGTTTTGTGCTTGGTTGTATGTTTTGGGTTAGTACTGTCAGCTGTTGCGCATGATGATCACTTAATCCCGTTACTACTACTTGATTATTTTTATATTCTTGAGAATTTATGAATATATTCTCAATACAGCATCGTTTGTTTTTATTTGGTCTAGTTACCTCAAATATCGTCTGTTCATACTTATATGAGGCTAAGAGATCTAGGACTTTGTCCCTTTTTTGACATTCAGCTTTTTTCATAGTTTCAGTTTCCCCTAAAAAATTTACATTAAAATCCACTCCCCATACTACTACATACCCTTTGTATTTTTCATGCACTTTTCCAACCAAAACTCCAAGTAAATCATAGAAAATGTTGAAGACCCCCAGACATGACCTATAAATACAAAAAATTAACATTTTCCAAGTCCTACTGATAGTTGTACATATTTCAAAGTGTCCCTACTCTAGATTGTAGCCATTAAAAGTTTCTAGTTCTTCGAAATCATCCATATCTTCTCGAGCATAAATTGTTACGCCACCTCTCTTCTTGTATCTCCTAGAAAATGTTGCTACGTTGCTACCAAGTTATATCCTTCGATCTTGCAGATACTTTTTTCCCCTGGCTGCAACCAGTGCTCGGACATGCATACTATCGCTGGTATATTACTTAAGGTCTCAAAGAAAGCTTCTAGATTTTCTAGAGCTGTTTTGATGCCCCTTATATTTTGGTGAAAAATTGTAAGTTCGCTGTACTTGTTTTCTCGTGTCCCACTTGCTTCCTTTATCAGTGTCTTTTCAGTAGACAGCGATGTGTGCTTCCATCCTTCTTCTTTCCAACTTTGTGTGTTTTTTGTGCCATTCTGTGTCAATGTGTTTTTTGAAGGGAAAAAAATACCGTTCTTCCATTTGCATTGAGTGGTAGGTACTATATGTACTATTGCCTTGTTGCAATTGTCCCTGTAGTGGCGTATTTTCTGAGTGCGGACTTTTGATTCTTATATTCTGATGAATAATTATTTTCGATTGTTTAGCTGCTTTAGCGATGGAGGTTTGTGTGATTTCTAGTATAGGTGCTGATCTTCGGAGATTTTCTAGCCTCTTCAAAAACTTGTCATTTTCTCTGACATACCTTAATTCGTCATGGAGAGATGTTTCTAAATTTATTCTCATATTTTCATTTTTACCAAATATGGCTGAGTTCGTTTTTGTCATCTTTTTCGTCGAGTTGCTCAGAAATTTTGACAGGCACGTGACTGGATAAGACAGTTCAGTTTACAAATCACGTGCCTGTCAAAATTTCTGAGCAAATCGATGAAAAAGATGACAAACACGAACTCGGCCTATATAAGTCTCACACAAGTGCAGAAAAAGCTGTCTGAGATTGTCCTTATTCCAAAATAAATCATTTGAGATGATCTGCGGTTCAACAATTTGATTACTGTCAATATACAATGCTTTACTGTTCACGAGCATTATGTATATGTATATATGTCATCATGTGACACTTATTAGCTTGAATCCTCACAAGGATCCGGGTCCTGATGATATTCATCCTGTTTTTCTTAAAAACTGCCCCTTTGTTCTCGCAAGGCCCCTACCCATCATATTTGATAAATCTTTCAATCTTTGGAAAGTGGATCTTTTCCCAAATTCTGGAAAACAAGTTTTGTCATCCCAATACATAAATCTGGAGACAAGTCCAACATGAAAAATTACCCGCAAATCATCAATAGCATTCCAAAAATATTTGAAAACCTTGTAACTAAGTATCTAAGCTCAACTCATTCTCCTTACCTATTCTCAATTTGTATTGCAGGCCTTGGAGAGTGGAGCTGAGGTTCATTCCATCTACACAGACTTCTCCAAGGCTTTTGATAAGGTTCCACATAATATACTGATAAACAAACTTAAAAAGATGGGTATGAATGAACCCTTACTTTGCTGGCTAGTCCCACATCGGATCACCTCTTTTCAATATCTTCATCAATGATGTTGCATCCTGCTTTCAGTCTTCGGAGTTCCTTCTGTTTGTAGAAAATGTATAGAGTAATATCCGATCCTGACGACTGCATTGCTTTGCAGGAGGATATTGACAGATTTATGGCTTGGTGTCGTGATAATGGCATGCATGTTAATATCTCTGATCTGACAATATTTTCTCGTCATTCAGTTGAAACTTATTTTCATTATCTTATTAATGGTGCAACATTACCATCAGTTGTAAACATAAATGATCTTGGAATTATTCTTGATGATAAGCTATCATTTTCCTCTCACATTACATCAATCAAAAAAGCAATTTGTTTCCAATTTTTTTTTTTTTTTTTGGGTGGTTCCAGGTAGAAAATGGGGACGCATTATACGAATTTTTAAATATCATTCCTACATCAATATTATCTGAAAATATTTGAACAGCCTAGCATTAGCCCTCCAGATGATATGCAAGGGGGTTGTTTAAATTTCAACACCCTGTATTTTGGAAACGACACACTTTCGACCATCGGTGTCCTATCTCAAATTACTTCTCTATGGTTCCTCTATATACCCTAGCATTTTTGACCAGTTGAACGGGAACACCCTGTATAATACAGTATCTCCTATTTTGAATGCGCGCTCCCGCTTTATCACGCTATATTTCGAAAACGGTTGGTCGTACAAAAAAGTGAATCAAAACAATTTTGTAGAAAATACTATTTTACGTAAGTTTTGTTTTGGGTTCTTCGACGTCAGATGCACTGGAAGCGAGATTTTCGTGACCTTGGACCTTCGATATCTCAAGACGCACAAGGGTAGGCATATTCGATTTTTTTGTACTTCATTAGAACATCAAAACGAAGCTCTTTGCAAAAATTCAGCTTGTTCGGCCTCATGCCGCAAAGGAAGTCTAATTTCCTTGGGGTACTATAAAGACACTGAATATAACTACGAAGAAATGTGTCAAAGACTAAATATGTCATCACTTCAAGAAAGAAGACATATTCATGACCTACTCCTTCTTTCTAAAATTCTCAACTCCCTTGTTGACTGTCCCTATCTCACTTCCAGCATCGGTTTATATGTACCACCTTTTAATACGAGAAACAACCAACCATATCACTGCACCACCTACGGCCAAAATTCCTTTATCTCCAGATCCATGTCTCTTGCAAACCAAAATCCGCTCCTTGATTTTTTTCTGTCCAATTCAACCTTTTCGAGTGCACCTGTCACAGTTGAACCTTGCTAGATTATAACTTATCTGTTAACAGGGTAGCCTAGCTTAACTCTTATTTCTTAATTTTTAAAACTATTTCTAAAAGTAGTTTACTTACATAGACTCATGTACTTTTGAATTTTCTTGCATGCACATGTTAGATTAAGTTTGAATTATAATTTTATCATTGTTAAAAAATGGCACTGCCATCAATAAATAAATAAATGAGACACTTTGTATGTGATTGCATATTTGGATTCTTCGCGAAATTCTGAGCAGATTCAAATATTTTTTTAAATGTAAAAAAAAACTTTTCGTTTGATAATTGTCAGTCATCTGATAACCATTAACAATAAAGCTTTGTATAATCTCGAATTTGATGAAATTTTCAGATATCCCAGTTTTTTGCCCCTCAATGTATATTCAAAAATCGATGAAGTTGGTTACTCTCTAATTATTAAAACCATTGACCAGCAAAATTTCCTCATTTTTAAAGAATAAACAAACATTTTATAATAATTAATAATAGAAATTACTTAGATGGATATTTCACACAAACCAATCACTTATTTATAAATACATGCACTTGTGTGCAAAAAATAAAGAGCAATGGTGCAACAAGAAAAAGAGAGTTGTGTATATACACAATCTTAACGCATCACAGTGTATTCTAATTAAATATTGATTTGTGTAAAACATCCACTACATTTGCGGCCTATTTTAAATCTTAGATTTCTATTCAATAATAATTAATATGAATCTAGCCATGAACAAAATGGTCGTTCTAGCTTCAAATTGACAACTTTATAAAAACATTTAGCTTAAATGAAAATAATTAAAAATTAGAAATCTAACTTTCAAATCAGCATTATAAAAATATTAATATTTAATAGTTCAATAAATAATATATATCGACTTACGACACTAGCACCCCTACCACTCTGACTCCCTAGTCCAGGTTGCGGACTACTGGGTTGAGTATCTTTGCTCCTATCTCCGGTACTTTGAATGACCAAAAACGGAGGCACTGTACTATCCGGACAGTCTTTGGTCAAATTTAAAATATCCAATTCACACTCGTCTTCTAGCCAGGAGGGCAATTCTAGGAGCAAGGAAATGTCCATTTCTTGTAACTCCCGAGGGGTGGCTATCACAATTAAACCACCGTTTAGCTGGAAGATGAAACATTGTGAAAAAAGTCCAAAATGTTGAAATTAACTCACATGATTTAGGGAGAAAGCCGATATAGAATCGTGTTCCTTATGGATAATTCTAACTGGTTCGGATGCAGGTTCCGGATGTGGAATTACTTCTTCCAAAGCAGTGGTAGACCTGCGACAAACATAATTATTTTAATAATTTTTACTGCATAAAAAAACCTATATTTACCGTCGCTTTCCTCCAAACACAGCTCTAATAAATATATCTTGCACAGGTTCCTGATGAACCAAAAAATGCCAAAGCAAACGGGCCGGACTTGCTGAACTTTTAAGAGAAAATGGCGTATTATGAGGTTCCAATAATTGCCTAAAAACATATAAAATAAATGTATGCCTAAAAACATTATTGCATGTCATACTTGTATTTTTGAATTGGTGGTCCACTAGTAGTGCTCTCGATAAAGCATCCAGGAATATATTCGGGAGGTGTTTGCCTTAACTCCAATTCGCGTTTTAAATTATCTTGCCAATAAGTCAAGCTTCTCAAAGAACTGTGTATCAAAGGACTTGCAACGGGTAGTTCTGATGTTTCAAGACCGGCAACCTTACCAAGCAAATATCAATTATTATGAATTAATTTTAAAAATAATATGTTACCGCCAAAAATTCCAAGAGTCTATTTTGTGTAATTCTCAGTGTCGCCAACTTTAATATCAACCAAGAATAGGAATTGGGATCCGAATGTTCATTATTGACAGTTTTTGTGGTTGTGGTTGTTGCGGGGCCATCAAAAACATCCTCATCTTCGTCTTCATCTTCATTTTCACTTTCTACTTCATCTACATTGTAAACTGATTGAGGCTGAAAAAACCTATTCATAAAATACTAATATTTTCTACATAACTTTTTCATTACCTTCTGTAATAAGAAAGCCAATATACTCATTTCAGGGGGGACGAATTGTTCCCGATAAGTAGGTTTGTCTTCTTTCATGACACTAGTCTGTTGTCCCAACAATTTAGTGTTCAATTTAAACCTTTGCTTGTTTAGCCAGTTGGTTGGTCTACTGGATTCTTCGCTCGGTGTTTGTATGCTTGTTTGGCTTTGCAATCCTGGATGATTACCCGTAAGACTTGCAGTGCGCAGTAGTTTTTTAACTCCACCACCAAACAATCTGATCAACAGAAAAAAAGTTACTGCAGAAAATATTTCGGTGTTAAGTTTATCGCTTACTTTCCCCAAACATCGGAATCCAAATGGTGAGCAGTAACATGGAACAAAATAACGCAATCGCAGGTGACAAGTCCATATAATAGTAAAGCTAAGTAAGTGGCTGTAAAGGCTTCACATAGTAGAACAGTCAGCCGAGGTGTATCTTCATCTTTTTCTCTGGCAAGCAGGGACCTAAGGCTGGTCACGCCAGGCCATTTTGGTGGGAATGTGACTATTTGGAGTCCCTCGTTTACGGAGACTTTACGTTTTCTACCCACCAGGTATGTTGATGTGATATCCTATATATTCAATAAAAAAAGTTTGGAAAGATTTAGTTGGAATCATTCTTGGAGTGCAAATATAAATAAAATGGTATCTAATATTCTCTCATATTTTTACCTGTGATTCTTGCTTGTTAGCCTTGAAAGTATCAGAGTCACAAAGCGATTGATAAATACAAGCAGACAGAGCAATAGCCAAGTCTCTCAACACCAACAATTGAGTTTGATTTGTGTGTGGATTTCTCAATTCAACCATCTAGTAAATTAAAACTCATAAATATCAATTTTCAATTATAAGCAAACTTATACTTACTGTGTGCAACATATCATGAGTGAGACACTGTAGATATCGAATAGGATCAGCAATAACGGTTTTGCTACTAGCAACACTGGCCGCCAATAAAGGCAAACTGGTTGGAAACGGTAGTGGGCTCAGTAATTGCTGATGCGTTTTCTCTTGTTGCAATTCTTGCAAAAGCAACATCAGCTCCATCCTGACTGAAGCCAAGCCACCAGTGGCTCCATGTAGAGAACAATAACTTAGCAAAGTCCTGAGCAACGTTTCATTGGCTCTTAGCCAGCGCTTACGTTTGGCCGCTCTTTGGACTTTGGCTTCGAAATCCAATTTTTCTTGTACTAAAATTTCGTGTAATGTCGGTTTTGGATTGTACTCAACTACTTGAGAATTTTCGACATCTTGAGATGGATCTAGGTCAGATGATTCGATGACGTCTGAGGCTGTGTAATTACAAAGTTCTCTTAAGGCTTCTACTTCCTTTTCTAGCCATAAATAAAGTTGGTAACGCAGTTGTCCTCCTACAAATTACAAAATAATAATTATTATTAGTAGAACAAATAATTTCTAACACTTGCCATCAACTTCAAAACCTGTAGCCAAGGTTGAAAGTTCTTCCATTAGAATTTTCAAACAAGCCACGAACTTTAGTTGCTGTGCCATAATGTCTACTTGATTTTGTACCTCCTCTTTTTTTTCTTCCTCTTCAGTTTGTTCTCGAGTCAGTAACTCTTCCTTTTCTTTTTTGTCACCTATTTTCATTGCAAGACCACCTGACTCATCAGAATCTGCATCACCTTAGCAAATACATTTAGATAAATACAAAATAGGTACTTTGGAAAAAAAATACCTTCATCATCGCTCCATTTTAAATCCAAGTCGTCAGTTTTCACTCCTCCATTTACTGGTCCACTCCAATCAAAATCTGCAGAGCTCTGATTAATAGCTGGCTTACTGTCCCACGAAATCATACCAGAAGCAATTTCTTCAATTGCTTTATCATGTGGTGCACTAGGAGACACTAATAAAACAAAAACATAAAAAAATCAATAAATAGTTTACAATATTTCTAGACTTACAGGGTGAAGTCTTTTGTTTATCAGGCACTACATTTGGTAACTTAGACAAAACTTCTAAAGCCAATGCAGGACAACCAGCTCTAAAATGTCCATGTGCGGTAGCAAAATACAATTGCCTCTCCAAAGAAGTTATTGAATCCTTCTTTTGTCCACTAGCAGCTAAATGCTGACGGACCAGTAGGGGATGAGTTCTGAGATATACATAGAAATTGAACACATTAGGATCAGCTTCTTTTCTTTCTCTGGCTTCTTCGTCATGGGCAGGATGTTGAGTGCCAGCTCCACCAATTAAAAGGGTATCAAGAGAAGGTTGATGTTCTTTTATTAACCAAAGAGCCATAGATCTAAGGAACGGATCTGGATGGGCAATGGAAAGATCTTGATTTTCACCATTTTCATCAAATCCTAATATCTCTCTATACAGGAGCTTCTTTAGACTCTCCCCATCACCTTCATACAATCTTGTAATGACAATAGCCATCTGAATATCGTCGATTTTACGTAAGCAAATTTCCACGGCGTCCTTTAAGTTGCCTGCTAACAAGAAAAATGCAGCGGCATGTTCGAATCTTTGCTTGCCCAATAGAGCATAAGCGTTTTTCAGTGCGGCTTTACGCCAACGATCTTCGGCGAAATTGTTTGAGAAAAAGTCAGTCATTCTTTGGTCTCGTTTTGATCTAAATAAAACAAGGTTCCAGTTAATAAATACATATTTGTTTATTGCAATGATGGATCATTTGAAACAATCTACGAAACGATCTTAGGACTGAAAATTCAGCTCTCAAGTTCACAGAGCAAAATCAGAAAAGAAATTTAGTGCAAGTGTGATTTTTTTATGCTCCTTTGCCTCTGGCAATGCTAAAGGTTAAAATTGGCCTTTAGCATTGTTAAAATTGACTGTGCAAGGCTTTCTTGATTCTATCAAATTAATTAAAACCTTTTCTAAACATTTAATTACTGTTACTCAAACTAATACATATTCATGCATTTTGACTGGTACAATATTACACACATAAAGTAAAAAATATTTCACCTGTACAATCCCCACAGCAGATTCTTCTTATTCATGGCCAAATAATAGAGTGCCGCATCCATAGGATCTTGATTAGACTGATAAGCAGCTTTAGCTAGAACTTGGACACTCTGCCTCAACAAAGCTAAGTTTCGAATCCACCACCCGGCTCCCAACTCTCTAAGCTGTGTCCAAGTGGGCGCTCCTTTTGCATAGCTAGGTATTAAATTCAACAGTTCCTCTTGACTTTCTGAGTGGAACGCCCAAGCAAGATTATTACTTCCGACGCCGTTCTTTTGGAATTGAGACCTTTGTGCTAGAGGAAGACATCTCAGAAGGTAGCTGTAATGTTTCATTGCTAGTAAAAATCTTAATCCGCAATCATCTAAGTTGTCTGTCACAACTTCTTCAGCTTGATTCTGCAGGTTTTCTTTGGCTATGGCTGATTTAGCGGCATCAATTGCAAATCTTTCAGCCAAATCAGTGTTACATGTAGCTACAGTATCAGCTAGAGCTAATAGATGCATTTGATCTAAACTAGATAATCCTGGGAGATGCATATGAGTTAAAAGCCTGGATAATATCCTGCCTTGTTTGGGTGTAAAATGAGTAAGTCCGACATTTCTTTCTGAAGCTCGTCGTTCCCTTCTGCCAACCTCTTCATCATCATCCAAATTTAAAGATTCTTCCATTATTACATTGCTATCGAACAGCTCATTATAATCCTTTTTCTCTTCTTGGGTAAGAGGTTTTTCTTTATCAGCAGCAAGCAATGTCCATAGAGGCAGGGGAGGTATATTACTTATTTCATCATAATCCAATGTAATTTCGCTAATACTAGCTCTATGTTCAGGGCTACCAGCTGGATAACTAACAGACAATGTACGATTTCTAGCCCATCCTTGAATATCTTCTGGAGGTTCTTGGTTACCACCTATACACTTGACTAAATGTGCCAAAATCGCCTTGACCCATCTTATTTTCCCTGAATTGAGAAGTTCCATTAGTTGTTTTGGATGGTATTGAGGAAGCACTGGGCAAGCGATCCTAGAGGCTTCAAATAAACCATAATCTGGCATATAATCCAGACTCTGTTCTTTGTTTCTTTTACGGTCCAAAATCTGCAAGTTAACTGAACTAATCCTGCCTAATGTAGGGACTGCGGCCAGTTTCTTTTGATTTTCTTGAGTAAGAGTCCTGAAATCCATTTCTCTGCTGCTATCTGTTTCGGTAACGCTACCACCAACTTGTTTCTGATTATGCTGTTGCGGTTTCCACTGGGTGTAAACGTGCATTTCCGAATCCATGCCAACTACTAAGATACCATCACGTACCCAACTTATTTGCATCGGCAAAGCAGGCAATCCATCAGCAGTGTGTAACTCAATTTTTCTTAGGGTCATCCATTTAAAATCATCTGGAAGAATTTGTGTTAGGAGTAACTTACAAGTGTGAGAAGGAACAATTTCTTTATCAACAATTTTAAGTTTAAGTGAATCAAATTTTTAAATTAAACTTTTTAGGTGTGATAACAAATCAGTTTATATATGTCTAGAAACCATAAAAACTTTTAAAATGTGGTCTAGTCTATTCACTTTTATACACAACTGGGTCTTTAATTGAAACCTGACGAAGTAAGTAAAAATATCTCTAAGATTCTCCCTCAGGGAAACTTTCCTTTTAAATTTCTTCTTTTGTTTATGAATCTACAAGATTTTCCGTACTTGCAGGTGGCACTGGTGATGGCGTAAGGCCAAAAGCGCTTTGCACTAATTTTTAATAATAAAATTTTGTATGAAAGAAAAAATCTTTTTGTTCACTTGATCGTTGAACGTGCACACAGCAATCAACTCCAAATTTTAGGTTTAACAGAGGTTTAATACTACCGAAAGCTGTTGTTGATTAAGGAATCAGTTCTGAATGAACTTAAGCCAGTAAGTGTAACTTTTGAGTAACTCTAGAGGCTTGAAACTTAAATGTCACTTATGCTGAAGAAGTTAGAGAAAGCAACAAATGAGAATTGTGGCTGAATATAGTAAACATGGTTTCCATAAAAATATATACACAGTTGTTGGAGAGTCACGCGTAATACTTATATGTTTTTCATCATTGGTTTTTACTTATTATTTTTTTAGTTTTTCTCAACTTATTATCAATTAAAAAAATCTATCTACTGCACAAGAATTACTTTGAAACAGTGTTCTTGAGCTATTTAGTAATTTGGACAGAAATACTTCAATCTGGTAATGTGCTACGAGCATAGTGTCTTTGGACATGCTAGTCACCAATCACTGTTCTGACAAGTATTTGTATCTTAAAGGGAGAAAATTGTAACAATAATTAATTCAATTATCTAAATTAGAAAGAAGAAACAAAACCCTAGACCAGAGATAAGGTGCCAGCAAGGAGACTAACCATATACAAAAATGAATCAAATCAAATTCAATAGTCAGAAGTTTTATAGCGATAGAAACTGACTCCGCCACCTCAATAAAATCCAACTTACCTACAAACATTGGTTGTGCCAAAGAACTAGCTTTCCTCAAAATTGGTCTGAAATTATTCAAAGACTCCTTCATAGCCTTTACATTAGCTTGTGCCAAATCCGTAGACAATGGAGTATAAAGTAGAATCTTACTGCCACAAGCCACAGTTAAAATATGAGATCCATCTTCATTTGACACCCAATCAAGTTGTACAATATGTTTTTGTGTTAGAGGACAAATATTGCCCATTTCTGAAATTGATTTTCTAAGTGACTGTAGAGTTGTGAAGCTCGGTACAGCTAATAGTGTGGGTTTTATGCCTTCAGTTGACAGCATGTTAGGTTGCCTATCCTCATTTGACAAAGTGTGCAAAACTTCATTAATTCTCTGCTTCTTCTTTAGCGTTTTTGAATCGTACAAGTAACTCAAATCAAGATGTTTATTAATGTCAATTCTTGGCAAATGAATGTTTTTCAAATGAATTATATCTTCTAAAATCCATTCAGTTCCTCCAGTAGACTCACATTCATATATAGCAACACATAAATTGATATATCTAGAATCCTGATCTGATTTATTAGGCCTGGTGAAACTTTTACCATATTTATAAGCACAGGCCAATCTTCCCGAATAAGCCACACTTATATTCAAAACCTGTCCTTCAATTTCAATAGCAGATTCTTTGATCATGCTCCATTCAGCCCAAACCTTATTAGAATTAACTATTATTCCGTTTTCTTCAAGCATAAGATTTGAAAACTCTCTTATTTGATGAGCAAGATTTGAAACTGCCCAGAATCTTATAACACCATCACTGCAAGCTGTTGCAAAACAATATGGAGCAAGACAAGCAGGATAAATAGATGCAGAACTTAAATGACCAGCAGCTGCTGTAGCATGAACAATCTCAACCCCATCTGGTAAGGGTAAAACTTGTTTTATTTCCCTCTCAACTGTCAATGTAATATGGGGAGTAACTTTGGATTGTTTCAAGTGAATCGACTCTACGCTGTTTCTTCTTGAAACGTCATTCTCATCTTGAATTAAGTTGCAATCTGGAACATACATTTGACTGGCTGTTAAAGATAAATCTGTATCAGTTGAAGCTATGGTTAACTTCCACGTATGTATTATAGTATTTTGATCTGTGCAATCTAAAAGTACTATGAAGAATGGTTCTTCAAATACTGACGACTGTTGCAAGTCAACCATTGCGTCTTGGTTTGCAGCTTTTGTAGAGCTTCTTTGGCCTAATTAGAGTCATTATATTATAAAACCGTCAAAGTGAAAATATGATTATTCTTACCAGTGATTAATTGTTCCTGATAAACATGCAAAAATGTCGTATTTTGCCACTCAATAGCCTCAGCAATAGTTTCCAGTTGAATTATACAACCAGGTCTAGAAGTACTTTGCTGAGACACAATATTAATATTCTCCAAAAGTGTGTCTTCAATAAACGATGACATATCCGACATATCGCTCATATCATGATCATTTTGTTTCTGACGAGTTTCTTTGAAAGACAAATCTGCTAGCAAGGTTCTAGCATCAATGACTGCTTGGTAGACTCTGAGACACTGACCATCTGAGGCAACAAAACAAGCACTAGGGGAATTTGAGAGATTACCAAGGGTGCTTGATGGTAGTAAAGTAGGAATCCAGGCAACATTGCTGAAAGCAGACGGTTCTGGCGAACTGATACGAGCTAGCTCGCAAATGCCTCCAGATTTTGATAGAGGACCCACTGCGTCTACTTTCCAGAGAATCAATTCACTGCAGAATCCCTAAAATACGATTTCATTTGTCACACTAATCAGACTATTATTCCAACTCACATTCGATTTCTGTGGACTCTTTTGATCGACAATGTTGTGATGACTGGTAGTCAACAAAAGTGGTAATACCGGATGACAAGTGATGTCATTGACTCTGAATCTGTGGCCTGAAGCTCTGCTTCGGTGACCGATACTTAGAACTTGAGCGAATTTGCTTTGATCCGCAAAAGTAAGATGCCACAAATTTAAAGTTCCATTGTCGTGTTTAGTTACCAGATATACTACTGGGACAGTGTCATTTTGATCATCGGTACAAACAAGACCCTGGAATTTGAGTAATTGAATACAGAAAATATACGAATACTTTTGGGCATTTTTCATAAAAATTTTATGAAATGGTTAGTGGTAGCTATTCAATGCTCACCTCCAAATCAGGTTTATTTTCGTCCTCCTCTTTCACACTGCTAAGATTTCTGTTACAAAATTCCCTGTTGACAGCGTGTTTTACCAAATGTTTCACTAAAGGCGTTGTGCTGTATAAACTGACAGTGGTGGACATACTCATCGAGTCACCAATCGGAAAAGCTGATGGGATTCTAGTGGAAAACGACACTTGTGCTTGACGGAATGATCCGGGATGAAATTCGTCTAGCCACTCAATAACCCTGAGAGAAAATTTCAAGAAAATAATAAAGTAAAGTTATTAGACTATTAGAAGTTATTACCAAATTAAAAAGCTGCCATCTACAGGATGAATACTGAATAACAAATCAGGACTGTGATGCCAGTCTCTCAAAAATGTTTCAATTCTTGCATCAACTCCATCTGGAGCTCCAGATTCCATTGAAGGCTCCAAACAATTTTCTTCAGATTCAGGATTGTCCACTACAGGCCTAAATAATGCAGAGAAAAATTAAAAATTATATTGTTATAAAAAGAATTACATTACCTGGCAAATTCTTCCAAAAACAATTCAGCCTGTAAACTAAATTGCATTTCCTTGTTATCCAACCAGTGCAATACAAATGCAGGCTTGGGATTGCAATAACTTATGCTAGGAACCAAAGGAATGTCAGTTTCTGCGTTTACTGATGCGGCCAAATGGAAGTGCAGCCCTGGTGTTACACCTGTTCCATGATATCCATAGGAATGGAAATCGTGCACGCTATAAGTAGATGGTAAGCTAGGAATTGGTTGTGGTGCAGAGCCTAAAAAACCTTGAGGTTGATGTTTGGCGTTTCTTCTTATATGGAAACAGGCCCTAAAAAAATCGTATCATTATGGAAGCTACTAAGAATACAGGTTTTTCAATGACAAGCTACTAACAATAACCATTATTAATTAGTAAAAATTAATACAGAAGTGTAAAATAATCAGATGACAATTCTGTATTTAACAATTGTCTCCGACCAACAGATTTTGAAACCCAGAATGATTTCCGTGGAAAAAGTTTAATGAGAAAATCGCAATACAATAATTTAGAGGCAGTATTTTAGTGAATCAGTTGTATTTAAAGGTGATGTACAATCACAAAAAAGCGCACTGCGCATTTGCTGACCGAAAAAAAATCAAATTGACCTCGATCAGACATACATACAACTGAGAGAAAATTTATGAATTGAATTGAAATATTTTATGAGCCCACAAAAAAAACGATCCAAATTTGAAAATATTAACTTACTTCATATGTTTCAATCTCTGCATAAATCTATGCTTATGCCTGTGTGTTCTGAATTTGGGATGGTGAGCTTGAGGATCTAGCTGCGACAAATTGACAAGTCCATCTTCAGGCAGAACAGTTTCGACCCACAATCGACATATGTTGTCTTTGCAAGATGTCAACAGCATATTAGATACTGAGCCCCTGCAGTAAGACTTTTATAATCATCCCAAAAAAAACAAATAATTTAATCACATACTTAGGCATATATTTACTGGTAGTTCGCCAAGAAATATGAGTAACAGCTCTTGGATGAGCTATATAAACGAATCCGTAGTCTAACTCCTGTGGACCTTCTGTACTTTTGTAGGTAAAAAGAACTACGAGAAAAAAGGTTTTTCAAATATGGCTAAGTTGTTCAAGAAAAAACTTACAATGTTTATTCTCATACCAAATCTTGACCAATCTGTCATTTTCACCACATGTAGCAAAAAGAGTACCGTCAGGAGAAAAGGCCAAATGTTGCACTGGTATAGCAGTGTTGGCTTTCCAAACGCATTGCCAAGAAGTTTGCTCTTGTTCTAAATACAACCACAAAATTGTAACATTATTATGTAAAATTTCAAAATAAATAATTCTTACCTTGTGGTTTATCAGGTTCATCTGCACTTTCACTTTCCTCATTTCCACCGCCAAGTGTGAACGTGACAGAAGGTTCTTCGGGTATCTGTTGTTTCAAATGCCATAATTGGATATCGTTGCCTGATATCAGAAGGCGAGTACCTTCCAAATTCCAACTTAGTGCTCTTATGGCCGAATCTGTTTTTAAACTGCCTGTTTGCACCCATCGATAGTCGAGGCCCTAAGAAATTGATTGGTGAGAGGAATTGATTTTTAACAACTAATTGTTAGAAAAAAAATATTCCTAGTTAATGTGAGAAGTTAGTTAAAAAAAAAACCTCACACACAAACGTCAAAATAGAACCAAGCACGTTAACTGACCACATATAGTCAATTTTCCTAGTACTCAAAGACCATTGTTGGCGTTATAACTCTAGCTCATTTATTATTTTTGTGTTAATCAAACAAATGTAATTCAAATTGTTAATTATCGGACATGTTATTTTAAACAGATAGCACTAGCTATTATAGCTTTTTTAAATGTTCATGAGTTCAGGATAGTTCTATAGTTTTCCTAGGAGTGCAGTCAGTTCTGATCACCAATGCTAGGAGACACTCTCATTAGACATTCTTAATTTGTTTTCTTTTTTGCAGACAAATTCGATAGGAATTGAACCACAATGTCTATGTCACAACCATCATTCCTGCGTCTACTTTCAAAGTATTAGTAAAGAATGATCGCACGCATCCCAGAATGGTTCTGAGTCCTAGATAAAAAAACGTTTATTTTCTGTTGTTTTTTCTTTGACTATGGAACTCTAATATGTAGTCTGAGAAATGTGATAAGGACTTGTCCAAGATCAATTAAATACAATTAGTAGATAACCCATTTTTTTCTTACATCTGCTACAGAACTATAAGTTTCTCAACCCATCTGAAAACAGAAGAACTCTCCCAAAAAAGCTGCTATAATTTATTTAGGGTGCTACCTATTTGTTCACGGCTACAAGATATTTGCAAAAACATATTGATGATATTTAAACATGTAGTTAAAAGACCAATTCAATCAATTATAAAAAAAGGTGAATAAGCAGAGAATATACTAACACCACACCACTATACCTTAACCCCTCGTTGTTTTTTATTCGGTCTCTGAAAATATCATCAAAAGCACTCCATTAAATTAATTTATTGCTACAATACGCACATACATACTATAAGTTCTATCAATTAGATGAGTCATTGTTTAAATTTATGAGTGTAATTAGACTGAGTACAGGTAATATAAATGAATGTGACCTGAACACTTTTGTAATCCTGATTACAATAACTTAAGTACACTGGTCTGCAAAAAAAGTGGAGCAAGTACCTAAACATCAAAATGTGAATATGGTTGTGTATCATATTCTCTTTGAACTAAATCAATTCATAATTCACAAGACAGGCTTAACAAACAAGTGCATGGAAGCAATTATTCATTCCTCTAAGAATATTCATTCCTCTAAGAATCTTTGGGAACCTATATCAATTATTATTTATGTCAAAAGCTAAATGATTCATTTGTTAATTTATTATTTGCTGATGATACCCTATTATCAGTGTCTGGGATAAATCAAGAACAATTAACTAATATGACTTTAAACAATGAATTAAAGGTAAATTAAAAGTGAATAGATCGAAAACAAAGTGCATGGTTATTGGTTCTAAGAAAAATGTTACCTAATGGATGTCCTTATTCTAAATTGACAGTAAATATTGATTGGAAAATAATTCATTTTGTTTCTGAAATAAAGTACTTGAGGGTGAGTTTGGATCCTCAGCTTTATTTTGAAGATCACATCGATTATGAGTGTAAATCGGGAAGAAGATTGGTTTTTCTTGGAATCTCTCAGCACCTGTCTCGATGGGCAAAAATGCTGGGTTATCAAACAATACTGCTACCCCATCTCTCTTATGCAAGTTCTTTGATAATATCTTGTAATAAGGAAAATGTACAGGATGGTCCAATTGAGGCATTTTTAATATATATTTTATCTATTAAAAGTGGTACAAACAAGTGGAATTTCTGAGCAAGATACATAAAAGTTAATCCCCCACTGTGAGGATCAATTTCATGAAATCTTGATTGGTGCAAACGGCATCTTCAGCCGTTTTGCCGCTAGAGGGCGTTTCTCAATTTTAAGCAATACTGTGAAACCTTCATACCTTTTTTATTTATATAGGAGCAGGGACCACCCTGTACACAGACTACAAATTCAACCAAATACGGTCATGGGAATTTTACTGAACTGTGATAAGTATACTCCAATTAAACAGATGTTAAGTATTTTAAAATGGGTAAATGTTTAGCAGTTTATAACTAAAGGGTACTTAATTTTATTATACAACATAGAATAATTTACAGCCTGCTTATTTGAAATCGTATTCTCTTGGGCAATAATACTTTTATTATTTATTGTAATTTTTATGTTTTTCTTTACTTGATGTTACTAGCCAAGAGCTAAATAAAGTGTTATTTAATACCTATTACTGATCCGGAGCTCAAATAGCACACATTAACCATTGACTTTTGAGAGTTTAATCCTCGGTTTAATCAGACTATTGTTAACATATATTAATAATATTATATTACTATTATTATGATTAACCTCTGTCTCATACTTCCGAGCATACTTCTAATCATAATATTTGGGATGTTTTCTCAAGGAATATCATCCCACAGGAAAGCTAATATTCATCATGAAAATAGTCAACCAACAAGTAATAAGCTTCAGAAAGCAGAGATGATAGAGACGAAGAGATGATAGAGACGAAGAGATGCTAGTTAAAGCTAGGAGAAATCTGTGCTAACTTCTAGAATAAGAAATGTAAATGGACTCAGAGACTGAGCCATGATGGGCTAGGGGAGTGTTGTTTGTCCTAAAAAGAGGAACTAAGCAAATTCTTATTGAATATTACAATGTAGGGAAGGTTTTGTATATGTAGTGAACTTCATCTAATGGACAGTGTACGAGTGTACCTAACAGAAGCAGAATCCTTTAAACTGATTGGAAAAAAAAAACATATTACCTCAGTCTACAGTGTAAATATCACCCTATTTTGACTACTAGTCTTAACTAATCTCAGACTTCTCGCTCACTCAGAGAGTACACCTCAATGTCTGACGACAACAAACTTATACTTACTTAGGTTATTCTCATAGTTTATCTAATAAATACTCACATGTGGTGAATTATTATGTATTAAGGGTGTAGGCTCATAAATACAAACAGTATTATCATAGGCGGCAGCGATTTTTCCAGTGTCACTAGAGCAATCTATAGAACTGATTCGAATATAATCGTGAACAGCACCTGGTATAATCTGTACCCTTTCAAAGGTTGAAGCCAAAATGACTATGTTACAACCAGCAGCGTAAGCCTACAAATTAATTAATTGAAAAGCAGCCTGAATACTCAAGTATTTAAGGTTTAAGATAATAATGGCCAACTTACTGTGAAGGGAACACCTTCCACGGAACCTACTGCAAAGCACTTGTCTCCTGCATTGCAGGCACCGCTCACAATCTGGTGCAAATTCATTTTTGGATTATTTAGTAAGTCGCTAAAACATCTCTAAGGATTGGTAATTACAATATTCAAAAAACTGCGGATCGAGTTAATTAAATTTTCCTAAAAAATATCAATTTATTTTGACATCAATCAGCTGACTGATTTCACCACATAAAAAATCAATATTTGTGTCTCCATAAATTTGTCTCTTTCTAAGAATAGATCTAAAAAGAGATGGCACTAGAGCATGACAACCAAGAAAACTTGATTTGAAAAGCTATTAATTTGTAGTTTATCTGATAGATGGCGCTATAAAACCCAATGCGTACCAGTGGCGTACAGTGACTAAATAAACATTATTACAAACAGTGGCGACCATTGGTGGTGACGTGGCGACAATAGAAGTCCCGCCGCCATTTTAGGGCCTACCTCTTGCTAATTTATAATTTGACATTGTAGAGTGATGTTTTGTAAGATTTTGAAATAAATAAATGGCATAAATCAGTGTTCAGTGTGAACCTGGCCGCCATTTTGACTCTACTCCGTAGGTTCGTTCGACAGAGTTTAAAGATTTTCAGCAGTGCGTTCAAGGACGGCAATGCTAATGCCAAAACCTACTTTTCCCCTTCTACCGGCGATGCCAAATCTGGTGTGAATTTGCTGGAACGCCAAATACCGTTTTTCAATGGCAATCCAAACTAAAGTCTGTTTTTTTTTTAAAGATAATTCCCCAAGTCAAAAATTTAGTAACTATGTTGGCAACACAAGCATTTTCTACATAAAAAATTTGAAAGATTGACAATTTTACATTGTATTGCCAACATAATGTCATTTTGACTTTTAACTTAAAAAAAAAACAGATTTTACGTGACATTCAAGATGGCGTGGCGATCACACATGGACCAAAAAACACACAAAAATATCTAGTTTCTGCCCGACTTAATAGTTTACGAACCTAGTAAACAAATATTTTATTGAATAATCAAAATCAAAAATGCAAGCAAAATAATTGAAAACAAAAACATGTATTCAAAACTAACTTGCTGGCCGCCACGCCATATTGAATTTTTCGTTTTCAGATCTTCAACGTTAGTATTATTTATTCACCACTTCTACTTCCGTTCTAGAAGCTTTTTGTATGGTATTATTTATGTCTTGTTATTTGTGCCGAAAGTGACAGACCCCACTCATCCAATCAAAATTCGTATAACCATTTCTAGACTCAGTTGAAAAAGAAAAAGTTACTTTACCGCGGCCGATTTCGAAGGTATAAAGCCAACCGTTTTTTGCACGTTGGAGCCGAACTTGAACGCAATATGCCAATAGTTGTATTCCTTTCAAGAGCTTGAAACACTCGAGCTACTCGCTTCGGTGCTTAGTCGCCCCCGATTTGCAGGGAACATATGCGTGGTGCAGCAAACACCTTTCGAAAGGAATAAGCGCGTGAAGTCCCAGAGCTGTTCCGGAGCTCCTCCTAGGTGTGAAAGGAATACAACTATTTTTGGTTTGGCTCTAGCCGTTTTTGAACGCAGCCCAAGACGAGACTTTTTGTTGTTAAGCCTGACTCACAGTAGACAAATTTAAAAAATATATATTGCCAGTTATATGTTTGGCCAAGTGTATATAGCTATTAGACGCACTAGAGAGATGACAAATGGCATATCCGACAACGGTCGGTGCCATTCCGTACGTGCAGTTTATAAATGGCCGTTTGCCCCGACCATTTTAAGGAAGCATTAGCAATAAGTATTCCTTAAAATGACACATGGATAAATGTCACTTTAAGGAATACTTATCGCTAGGCTTCCTCAAAATGGTCGGTGCAAACGGCCAAAAGTCTGTTTTTTTTTTTTAAAGATAGAAGTCAAAATGACATTATGTTGGCAATACAATGTAAAATTGTCAATGCTTTCAAATTTTTTATGTAGAAAAGGCTTGTGCTGCCAACATAAGCCGCTTTTCAGCTGACCATTTTGAGCACGCAATCGAGCTTTTGCGCGCGCAAATGCTTCAAGCGCGTGTTCGTGTTCCAGCCGTACTGCGCTTCGAGAGCTGCTAACTTTTGCGTTTCAAACACAGAACACTGTGCTGCACCGTGCTTGAAGAACAAACACAATGTCAGCTAGAAAGCGACTATAGTTACCAATGAACTATAGCCAAAAACTGGAATGCGCACACATTGCCATATCTGCCAAAAAAATGTAGCCATGAAAGACAGATGCCATAAGGGGGAATGTTGTTTTTTTCTGTTGCTCGCTGACATATGACGTTTTCGAAAGATTTGTCATATTTTCCTTCACAGGTTTCATCAATTGGAATACGTGTTGGAAGCAATTTCCGCCATTTAACATAATGAGTGCAACAGAAACAGGTTTCCCCTCCGCAGCAGCGGCACTAGGCTTCATGTTCGTCAATATGTGTACGCATTCCAGTTTTTGGTTATACTTCATTGATAGTTACTAAATTTTTGACTTGGGGAATTATCAGAAAAAAACAGACTTTAGTTCATTTGATCGATATACGCTGAAACCCTCCAACTCGACAAGTCGTAGCAAGCTTTTTTCACGTGTATTCGGAATTTCTAGCTTTGTTTCAGTTTACTTTACTCATCTTATGAATAAAAAGTTTATTTTGGCTGAGTTCGGCTTTGCACAGTGCACTCTACAGAGCGGAACGGTATCAGCATGTATATAAAAATTGTTTTGTTTTGATTTTAATTTAATTTTATCCCATTTTGACGTTTAAAAATGACATTATTGAACGCATAACAATAAAGGTAAGTAGACGTTTACTACCTCAGTGATTTAAAAACATTTTAACTCACTCTCGGCATTTTAAGTCACTCTGCTCAACTAAAATCTGAAACCTCAGTGATTTAAAATATTTTTAACTCACTCTCGGCATTTTTCCTTGTACATTATTTTTTAAATTTACACAAAATGGGATAAAATTTTGTATACATCACGTGAGTTATAAATGTTTATTCATTCGAAGAAAATTAACCCACTCGCCAAAGGCTCGTGGCGCTTTCTTCTCATGAATAAACATTCATTTAACTCACTTGGTGTATAAATAACTATTAAATGGACATCCATCATAAAAAATGGAAAACAACGTATTTGATGTAGGTACATTATAATAATCATCAAATACCTTGTTTTCAATTTTTTATTTTGGATGTCCATTTAAATCCTATACAATTCAAATTCAAAACTAGCAAGAGGTAAGGCCCAAAATGGCGGCGCTTCCAATATGAATATTATGCTGTGATATTAGTATCCAGTACATCGACCTAAAAATTTTGTAACTCATGTACACGCCAAACTTCCTGAGCGGCTTCATAACACCAAGTCGGACTATTGTTCATATCTTCCAAGGATGATACACACTACATGACTACACACTACTATTACAGGATAGCCTAACCTCAGCCGCTTTCCAGTATGCACATTGGCGCGCTCTGGCGCGCTCCAGAGCACCTCGGTGGCGCCACGCACTAGATTTATACCGTTCTAGTATCATGACGTGAGACGCCCGTCTTAGTGTCAAATATGTCAAATTTTAAAAATAATTATCTATTTGTTTGTGCAGTTTGTTTTTTTATTTATCATAAATGAAAGAGAATCAAAACTATATTTTTTAAAATGTTCAATCTTGAGATATAACAAGAAATAAATAAATAAATAGCCACCCACGGATGTGACAGCTGACAGGTTGACGCGTACGTACAGCTCGGGGGCTCAACGCCCCGAGTAGCTCCGGGCGTCAAACTCCCATACTGGAAAGCGGCTCTCATTAGGCCTGTGTGTAACAAATCCCCCCTACTCAAACACCATCCATGCTAAAATTCCAGTTGTAGGCAGCATGTTATTTCTCGCCTTGACGTAGGCTGTTTCCAATATGGCGGCGATTACCAAAAACTATGCCGATAAGCACATATCTTCAACCGGGCGATGGGACATTAGTTGTATTCCTTTTAAGAGTTTGGAACACTCGAGCTACTCGCTCCGGTGTAAAGTCGACCCCGATTTGAGAGAAAAATATGCGTGCTTCGAAAGGAATAAGCGCGTAACGCCCCGGAGGTCCTCCTAGGTGTGAAAGAAATACAACTGGTCACGTGATTACGGCTCCGCTCTCAAGCTCTGCTCTTTGAGCAAAATACCGAACGCAAGAGTGCGTTCGAAATCACCCTGGGTGTCACACCGAGTGCACACCTGCCATGTAATTCATGGCTGGTGGTATAGAGGTATCCGATATTTTCAAATGAAACACCCTATATATTATTAGCTCATTGGATAGCTCTGTTTTTGCTGATTTCAATGAGATAAAGTTCGATAGGTTTATCTCTAGCAGTTTGCAAGAAAAAAAATTATATGTTTTTGTCGTAAGGACCGATGTGTTAGAAAAGGATTTTAAATGTGTAAGGAAAATGAAGAAGGTCTCTTTCCAACACATTGTTTCTTATGAATGAAGGAGATATAATTATTTTACTCGAAAACTGTTAGGGATAAACCTATCGAACTTTATATCATTGAAATCAGCAAAAACAGAGCTATCTAATGAGCGATTAATATATAGGGTTTTTCATTTGAAAATATCGGACTTTGGCCGATATCTCGAAATCGGAGCGATATAGAAAAAAACTGAGTCCGCCACTGGATTGTGCTCAAAAAAGTATCTCCATAATGTTTTCACACTAATAAAAAAAATTGATAAACAAAAAACTTATAGACCTTTTTCATAATAGGGGAAAATCGAAAATCGCCCTGTATTAATGGTACCACTGAAGATATCGCGATACGGTTTTTGACAATCGACGTTTCTCGAAAATCCATCCCATGACATCTAAGTCTATTTTCCTCTATCTGGTCTGGAAGTAAGTTTTTTCTGTTAAAACACTCCAAATTGCAGCACCCTGTACAGTGGCGTACATTGACTCGCTTATCGCGGTCTATGGTGTAGGGTGTAGCCGCAAAAGTCCGCGGAATCATAACCTGTGGTGCAAAAGTGCAATATTAACACCCTACATCAAGGCGAAAAACGACATATTTCTACGTCATCACTGGTGCTTTGGCAAGGTGGCGGGGGACTTGAGATTTGAACTGCACAGGCCTCATTTGGATAGGCTATCCTGTAGTAGTAGTGCTTATTATCCTTGGGTGACAATATTCTTGCTAATTTAATTTTGGAGTATGGTTAATGCCAATGCCCACTCTGAAAGAAAAACTTTTCCCGCACGCGAAAGCAGTTAGACGAACGACGTGAAGCGGAGTTCGAATAAGCTTTGAGTGCGGAAAAACTACATTGCACACGTGTTAGGAACAATAGGTATTTTTTCTACGAATGAAATAACTATACTTTTTTTAAATTTTTATAGGCATCAAAAACAACAACTTGGTATAACTAACTAGGTATATTTAAATTAAAAAATGTTTCGGCCCCCTCTCCGCGGGGCTTTGCCCCCTAAAAGAGGGGGCCCACGGGGCTGGGCCCCTCAAATATGGGGCTCCCGCGAGGCCGGGCCCCCCAAAAAGGGGGCCCCCGCTGGAATCCGCCCCACAAATAGAGGACTATCGCAGGGCTTTGCCCCCCAAAAGGTGGGCCCCCGGATTTTATTATGGGTACCAGAAAAAAAAGTGTGTGAATTTTTCCCGCACACTGTGCAGGAAATTTTTTTTCCCACGCACTTTTGGAAAAGTGTGTCTTTGCGTAAGCAAAAGTGTGCGCAAAGTAGTTACTTTGCGCACACTCGTAAAAAAAAAATAATACAAGAAAAAAAATTACATAAAATCACAAAACAATTTATGTAATTTAATTTCTGTTTTCCCAGTCATTATGAAAGCTTTATTTGCTATGAGAGAATAAAAAGCCTCACATCGGAGTTGGCTCAGATTTGGCATAAACATTCTTTGATTGATAAGGTATTACATCCGAATATTTTTGTGTTTCGAAATTTTTCGGGTTCTTCGAAAAACTGAAATATTTGGATTGAGTTTTTTTTTTCTCTCTGCAAACGAATTTGAAAAAATCAACACAGAAAGACAGATTATTTCAATGCCATTAACGCCTCTTATGTATTTTTAATACCTATTTCTTTGTGTTTTGTTAGCGTTTTATATTTTGTAATCAGTTATTATTTACACCTTGTCGTAATTTTAATTAAATCTGGAAATAAAAAAAAGTCTGCCCCCCTAAATGTTTGGTTGTCCCCTCTGGAATCAAAACCTAGATAGGTACAGGCTTTTGTGGTTCAATTTTAATAAAATATTGCTGAGTATTAAAAACCTCAGATTAAAATATTAACAAAACAAGTACAATATAAAAATAGACTATAATAATTATACATTTTAGTGGTTCACCAAAATTAAATATAGCGCGATAAAAAAAAAAACGACTTTTTAAGTTAATAAAAAGTAGTAGGTAGATACATTAGAAAAAAAGTGAAGAAAAATGGACGTATCGAAAACTATTCATTACATAAAGTGTTTAAATAGAACAGATTTGATTAAATTTCTTAGAGAAGTGAGTAGCCAAAATATACCTTGCCAATACGATAATAAACGCATAGTGTTTTTTAGGAGAATTATACTGTTGTAGCAGATATCTTACGACTAAGAGATATCGACGGAATAAGATTTTTGGTAAGAAGTATTACAAAGTTAAAATGAATCAATTTTTGAAAGAAAACAAAAAAGGTTCCTAAATTTTCAAAATTTCACTCGATTTCTTCTGAGAAAATGTTCAGTTATCACCTTGCAGTTAACAAATAACACATAATATTGAATCTAAAGGCCGTATCCCCAAGATACCAAAACGCGAGAACATGCTCACTAATCGCACACCATAGCAAATCTTGAGCAGAGATTTGGTTTTTCATCCTGACAAGATTCAGCTAGTAGTAGATTCTAAATGATCAGTAAGATTTGGTTGATTATGACTGACATCAGCCTACCCATATGAAGTATTGAATTTTTTCAGGATGGTGAAGTTGAGTTGTTCACTTTTGAATCTTCTGTCTCAGTTCATGTGGGATGCGCTATTTTTGAACAAAATCTCTTAATAAAATCATACACTTTCAATGAGCTTGTTTTAATGTGTATCTAAAAGCGTTACTCAACCAAAAAATGTCGTACTGGCAAACAGAGAGTACCAGGTCGCTAATAGGTTTGTATGCCAAAGGCAAGTGCTGTTTTATTTTGGCCCAACCACGTTCCCACATTTTTCAGACATCATTTACCTAAGGGTGGAATTTATAGTCGCTCCTTGAGGCTTCCTCAGACCTTATAAATTGACATGACTAACTTACCAAAGAGTAGCAATAGTGTCCATTCTAACCTCGCGATCTCCAAGGAAGCATCAAGGAATGACTATAAATTCGGCTCTAAGTACTGGCGTGCCAGTTTTTAAATATCACTCTTATTCTAAAAGCGTTCAGATGTTGCACAACTTCCCCCACTCGATATATTTATAATACTGATTTGATGTAAAAAGAATTAATTTTCAGGAGTTAAACGAACTAGATCTGGTTCAATGGCGATTAAATCCCAAACAAAAAAAGTTAATATTAGAATGTCGAGACCAATTGATAGGTAAAATAACACCACAGACAGTAAACAAGCCACCTCTAGCAATGAAACCGGCACAATTATTGAGACCGAGAGTAAGTTCTGATAATGGAAAAATTGCTGACCTTCAATCTAAACTACAGTTGGAGAATAAAATATTTAATGTTACTACACAAACACATACTAAAAGTAAAGTTCTTTCAAAAACGAATAAACAAAACCTCAACGATGATGTCGATTATGATCATTACATGCATATGATGCAAGATAATGCTTCAGCACCTTCAAGACCTGTTAAAAATATGAATGTAAATGTTATATCAAACAAAAATATGCCCAGTCAATTTCCTCATATGATGCAAAATACTCAAAAAAAGGTAGTTAAATCTATGTCTCCTATAAATCCTAGCGAATTAGGCACAAAGCCTTTAAATAAGTATTATAATGAAAGTCAGCGTTCATTACCAACACCACCACAATTATTATCATTACCGATCCAAAATAGACATTTCAATAGAGGCATTCAGGACAATGAAGAAAATTATGAAAATCCTGACGATATTAAATCTGAAAGGTTTGAAGATCAAGATATTTATGAAGATCCAGACACTGGTAAAAATAAGAAAACACTAGATCAAATATTAGCCTCAAGCATCACACAAAATCTTAAAATGTATGAGGATAATTATGAAGATCCAAATGTTATTGAAAATGGCAGAATTATAGCTAACAGAATGCCTGCATTACCAAAAAGACCTTTTAGTTTTCCAAAAAATAAAAGCAACTTTGAAGAAAGCGATTATGAAGAACCTGAAGGTATAAGCAAAAATCAAATTAATAAAATGCACCAACTCAACGATGTGAGGCCTCAAAGATCAACACAGTCATTTTCAAATTTAAATAAACCTAGTGCAGGAAATAAATTTCAAGATGAGACATATGAACAACCAGATGAAGTTCGTAAAAATCCAAAAATAATGCCTACATTTAAAAAACCTCTCAATTTCTCCCAAAACAGAATTCAAGATGAGCTTTATGCAGATCAAAAGTTTCTGTCTGAAAGTTTGAAAAATCGTATGCATCCATCAGAACTAATAATGAAACATCCAACTCCAAAGAAGACACAAATTTCTAGTGAAAATGATACCTATGAAGATCCAGATATGGTGAGAGGAAATTATTTTGGCAAAAATACTATAGAGAGTCCTGAAGAGGAAGATTATGAAATCCCACTTGAGCAAAAACAAATTCAAAATCAAAAGACTGGCCTTATGAGTAAACGTCTGCCACCATTACCTGCTAAATCTTTTGCTGAAGATGGGTATGTGGAGATGAATTATTATATTAAATATATTCAGAATAATTATAATTTCTGCTTTTAGACTTCCGGCCGTTCCACCAAAACATAAAGATGTAGCTCGTAAACGCTCAGAAAATGACTCTCTCAAAAACGAGCCTTACTTAAGGGATTTGAGATATTCTCATAAACAGGACCTGCCTCCAGTACCTTGTGGATATGATAATCACCGTTTATCGAAAAAAACTAATATGAGCTTAATGAAAATAAACTCGTCTGATGTTACTAGGTCTTCAGGTAGGTACCTAATCTGTGAGCTTTTTATATCTATGAAAATATTAATAGTAGATGCTTGTAGCGCCCTGATATGTTAATGTAGCGGGAGATAGGGCTGGGCAGTTTACTACAATTAAATTTCACCGTTAAAATACATCGAAAAAAAAAAAAACATTATAAGTTAAATGGCACGACATTACACAAAAACAACAAAAAAAATAAATAAATAAATAAAATCAATCAAGAAAAACATCATCAATTGAAATTGTTGTATTTTTGATAATAGTCCATAATGGTCAGAATCTTTTTCTCTGTAACTGGCTTGCCCTATCTCTCGCTACTTACAATCCACCAAATACCTGTTAATTTTGTTTATTATAGCCATACGCCAAATTCGAACTAATGTTTGTTGGGATGGTTCGTTACCCTCACCTCCTCTACCATTTATATCAACATTGCCAGAGAAAAAATGTAACTAGACCCTACCTACTTTAACCATAGTTATGTTAGTATTTTTCAGGTGACATTTGGAATTCATTCGATCAATCAGGTTTCCCTACGCCTCAAAAGTTTGAATGCAAATTTAAACATGCCGATAGTGCCATGAGAATGTATGTTGAAGGAGAAGAACATAGAATATCTTCTGAAAACTGTGAGTAGAAAATGTGTACTTTTAATGGTAAAAAGGTAATAAGTAGGTCCTATTTTTAGCTAATCCAAACGATTTTCCCTTCTTCAGAAACACAGACAGAATCGGTGGTCGGCAATTATTAGAAAGAATCAAAAACATACAGAATGGTGCCTTTTTGATTCGCAAATCCAAAGAATTTTTTTTGGTTATAACAATGTTCCATGAAAACCGCTTTTATAACGTTGGTATTGATAAAAACGATGACGGTTCAATTTATTGTAAAACTATCAAGAATGAGGAACCGAAAAGTTTCAAAACATTGTATCAATTTGTCGAGTATTATAAAAGCCATCCTTTAAGTGTGACCACAAAGGGAACTGTTATTAATATTTATTTAATTGAACAATTACCTCCTGAAATTTTTTGAGAATAATCTACATTATGTTTATTCTACCAAATAAATTAAGTTTATGAACGCTTTACATCTCCTATTAGAGGCAAGTCATTAAAACATATTTTTCCTAAAATGTACTGGTTTTATTTACTTTTATCTGATTTAAGCAAAAATTTGTCGCAATTAAAATTTAATACTGGCATGTATTATTTTCTTCTGTCACGTGAATGAAGTGGTTCTTTAGTTTTTTTATAATTTGTATCACCCACCAATAATTGATCTTCTTCCGCAATTTGACTATTTTCTCCCAAATAATAATCTTCTGGTTTTCCTATATTTCCATAAATGTCACTAGATGTTGCTCCATAGTAATTAGTAAATTGCGAAGTATCTGTATACGATGCCATTGGATCTATTGAATTGTTTGGCTGCGAACATCCACTTTGTTCTGCATATTGTCCTGAAATATAGTGTATCAGGAATTTTATATGACAGGAAATATAACTGGAAGATCCTTAAAATAAGTATGTTTAAATGGGGAGTGAATCAAAAATGAAAGGCGGATGCACTGTCAGAATAATAATTATTAACATGTTCTGCAGTCCCTAATAAGCCATAGTTTCAGTAATGGGTAATTTAAAAAAGTGAAAATTGCATTAGTGCGTATAGCATGGGTCCCTATAATCATTGGCTAGAAATTGAGATTAATGTCGCAAATTTATTTTCTTGCGGAAATGGTCAGGGCATTATCAAAATTATGTTGCTTTTGGAAAATAATTAATTGATAAAGTGTAAAAAATCATATAAAGTTTCACTGCACTGAATAGATTTTTTTCACATTTTATATTATATTTAATATGTAGTAGCAAGTCAGAGTTTATTGAAAATTACTTAACAGGAGTACCTAGATCAGAACTACAAAATGGTTTATTAAATCAGTTAAGTCCAAAACACAATAGTCCTCTTCACAGGATCATGTTAGTAGTCTTCAAATATTTTGTCAGCTCTTGCAGCTGCTCTGGATGAAGCAATTAATTATTCATGAAAAATGGAGGAGATATCATATGAATCTCGATATGAATTTAAAGCAAAGCGGGAATCTTAGGCGATATTAAACCATTTCAGTACTGTAGTATTATAATGTTCTCACACTGAGGGTCGGTTTCTCAATAGAGCGTCACCTCCGGATTGGTTTCAACTCCAGGGTAAACATGTCCAAGTTGCAATATTTACCCTGGAGTTATGCTTAACCCAGGGGTGACTTGCTATTAAGAAACCGGTCCTGAGGGTTCCAGTAATTTGTGACAGATAAAACATGTATATTATGCCACTGTGCCTCACCGGAATTTCCATATAAATCAGAACCAGCTTGGTACAAGTGACTCCAGTCCGTTATAACACCTTGATTGTAGTTATTAGTATAAGCTGCACTCCATTGATTCTCAACTTTTAAATTTTTATCATATGTATTTGCAATAGGTTGATATTGTTTAGCTTGTTTCCTAATTTTTTCTTTTGCTATTTTTTCTAGTTCTTCTTTCTCCCTCTTTTCTTGTTCTTCCTTTTGTTTGACCCAATCTTTATACAATTCCATTTGATTGTCAATTACTTCCTTCATAATTTCAGTTTGACTTTTTTTGCTTGTATGTGTAGATTTATATTTCACACTTCTACGCTTGGAGTCACGTTCATTTGTTAGCCTGTCTTTTTCGGATTGACCTTTCTTTTCTTTTTTATCGGGAAGCTCTCTAAATTTTTTAATAAATAAATTTAAGTAATACAATGTAATAAAAATATTCCAATACTTACAATGTAAATTCATCTGGTTTAGGAGGTGCTTTAGTATGTTTGATGGTGTAATCATACAAAGCTAATCTTTCATCAGGCGAATAGGTGCTGATTAGACGATCCGATGACATTGGGTCTGGATCTCGACCATTCCAAACTAAAGCAATAAGTTGGAATTATATTTTTACGTTAAAAAAATAGGGTGCTGCAAAAATTGTAATAATTTTTGATAGACTGAGATAAAATATATCAGGAACTAAGTCAAGAATTAGTTCTTGTGCAGAGTAATATTTAAAATTACATATTTTCATTTATTTCTGATTACCTACATATAAAAGGATATTTCAAAAAGGATATAGATCACGTATTGGTTCATTTAATAATAAATTTCACTTTTAGTTCAATGTAAGGCCAGGAAGGGTAAACCCTCACTGAAACAAAATTACGACTATTAAACATTGGGTCTATAAGATCATTGTTCCAACAATTTTTGAACAAAATATGTCCAAGCATATGATTATTTCAAAAATTCAACTAATTGCTGGAACAAAAGATTTGGCTTGCAATAATTTGAAGATAAGTACTTACCAATTTTAAAATCAGAGTGTTTTGCTTTGGCTACTGTCAAAGCTTCAATCTTTTTTTCTCTTGTTAATTTAATGCTATATTCGGTCTCATCTAGTTCAGGAAGGAGCAATTCTTTTTCCTGATAGCCTGCTGAATTTAGGGAGCATTCGTCCAAATGTTTTTGTAGGGTCTCTTGTGAGACACTATGGTGTTTGTTGAAAGGACAAATTACTTTGGGTTTATCCTAGAATATGTGGAAATTTCAAGATAAATGTAAGTTGAACATAGGATATAAGTTTGAGACACCCTGATAAATAAGGCACACATGGTTTTAGGCTGGGTTTTAGGGGTAGCAAAGTTGTAACACAGAATCAAATGTTGTTTGGGATTAATGGCATTTATTTTGTATATTTTGCCTTAACTGAGTACAACTTGATAATAGTTGATGTTCAACATAGGAATCAATTACAGAAATTAAAACAGATAACATAAATGCCAAAGAAACCTAAAAAACACACACTACCTGTGAAGTTTTTGGAATCGTCCAGCCGACAGATTTAAAAACTGCATTTACACTGGTTTCCGAGGCTTGGATAAACTGTTTTAAGCTTTTTAATTGTTTCTTGCGTTCTTCCAAACTAAATTCCATATTGATTTTGTTCAATTGTTGAGGAAAACGAGAAGCTTTTCAAACACCTTTCTCAAACAAACAACATAACATTGAAATCCATAGCTAGCATCATCATCATAACCGCATGCAGGGTTGCCAGATGGTTATAACTAATTTCCCCCAAAGGATTTCAAAAATACCCCAAAAATCACTGTTTGTCAACTAAAATCCCCCAAATAAAAAATAAAGATTTATTCTCGACTCATACTTGCAAAAAAAAAAGACAAATTCGTTGAATATTTTAAAATAAAACTCATACGCTTACCACTTTTTTATTTGTTTATATTTTTCTAATCCCAAAAATAAAATGACAATTGACAAATGACAAATGAAATCAATCAATGTGGGCAAACAGGGATATGCTTTGTCTCCTACTAAATGAGTGTTTTCAGGAAATTTTTCCTCTTGAAGCCGAGTGAGGTATTGAAATACTTCACTTCTCTTTAAAACATTGGCATCATGGGTTGAACCGACCTCTCCGACATAACAGTGAGTGAACATCATCTTATTATCACACACTCTGTTGGAGTAGGTATGGGTATATAGCATCCATCTATGCAACCTATAGTATTAGGGAAACCCATTTGTAGAAAAGAATTTTTGATGGTATGGAGTGTATTGGCCACTGGCCATCTTATAAATGTTGGAGCTAAGCCTATGAGAAGTTCTGTTACTCGTCGAACCACTCTTAAACTAGTTGCTTTCCCTATATTAAAACGACTGCAAATGGACCTAAAAATAAAACAAAACTTATTACTACAAATAAACTATCTCACCTAAATGAAAATAAATTGATTACCTATATGAGTCAGGGGTTGCCAAATACCATATTGTAAAAAGCAACTGATTTTTTGGTGTTACTGGATGACGACCTCTTCCTTGCTGGTGGGTCAATTGAGGTTCAATTAAGGTAAGGATGTGATCAAATGTAGGCCGAAACATCTTAAAATGTTCTCTAAATTCGTTGTCTGAGTACCTAGCAACTATTTCTGAGACTAAGTTTGTTATTCTTGGTCGTAAAACTAAAAAAATAACATCTATCCTCCAAGACCCCTATTACATTACATTGATGGTATGTTGCTTACCTTGGGGTCCTCTTCTTATCTCATGGGGTGGGTCAGCTCCTTCCTCTTCATCATCATCCCCTGACTCTTCAGAACTACTGTTGAGCAGAAGCTCATTAAAAATAAATGCTGCTGCTTGATCCATCGTTTTAAATTACTTTATTACTATTTGTACTGCAAAAACAGCATTAAGGAACCTAATAATATCTATTATTTATATTTGCAAACACAACCACAACAAAGCAAAGTGAGCAAAGCACAGATTTTTAAAACCACCACAACCACAACCGTTCCGTTATTAACCACAAATTTCAGAAATTTTCTGGTTAGTAACTGTCATTAGTGTCATTTCTTCTGGTTGCAACTAATCAATTTCGGACCATACCCAGAATGTTGTGACTGGTGACAGAACAGATAAGTACACTGGGCTGCGTTTAGGAATGGCTATAGCCAAGCCAAAATTGGCATTTTGCGTTCGAGTTCGGCTCCAACCTACGTAGTTTGGCATTACAGGTGGAGGGGGAAAAGTAGGTTTTGGCATTAGCATTGCCGTCCTTGAACGTACCCCGGTTGTACCAAGAAGTTTGGATAGTTTAAAAAATAATCTCAATTTATAAAAATAGTAGTACTTAATAACATAAAATAAGAAATAAGACATAACTTAAAATTTAGCTTCATAATTGTAAATAAAACAAAAGCAAATCGTTCGAACTAAAAGAATTCCTTAGTTGTCAATTTCTGCGAGCACATCTAATGCGTTGTTATTTTCTACACTCATCTGTTACATGTTTGAGTTAAACTTTTCCAACATTTTCTCGGTTGGCTGAAAACTAACGCAACCAATATCCATAAGGTAGAAACCCACTCGCAATATAGCATCTGTGCTATGAATTGTCAATCGATTTCGTATTTTATCTTTGATTAAATTAACAAGAGAAAAAGCTCTTTCTACTGTGGCATTTCAAAAAGGGAGAGACAAAAGCCCAATAGTTAAGTTTGATATATTGTCACATCGTGCTGGCGCAGTTGTTTTAATACATTTTTTACTTTAGTTTTATTCATTGAAATATACCCGATTTCCCCTAATAGCGAAAATTCTTACAATTCTTACCCCCAAAAAATCCCCCAGAAAAAACTATTCCCCAGATTTTCCCACATCTACTTGAAAATCCCCCAAATTTGGGGGAAAATCCCCCAATCTGGTAACACTGACCGCATGTGTCTGGGATTTTAGGCATTTTTTGAAGTGAAGCTTCTTTTGACCTTGCGTTCGGTATTTTGCTCAAAGAGCAGAGCGTGCTGAGCGGAGCCGTGATCACGTTACCAGCGAGCGAAAAGAGCAGTTGGACGCTGTATGCTGTATCAAAGTGCCAGAAATTTTAATAAATGAACGCGAATGAGCCTGCACCGAGTACACTTTTTAAATAAACGAACGGTAAATTCAAACTCGGAAAACTCGGATCAAAATAACGAACATCCTTTAATGCTTAAGCCCCTTTTACAATAAACGTAGCGTAAAGTGACCATCCGTCCCAATGGGCGGGATAGTCCAGATTGCGAGCTACGAGTCCCGATTCAATAGGCGTCCCGCTTTTAATAAATTCCAACAATCAACTTTTTATTATTCATCTATTTTAAATCAAATCAAAAAACTATTTCGTTCAATATTGAATTGTTACCTCAAATCTATAAGTTTTCGCAGATCCTCAGAACTCACAATAGTCACAAGCATTAGCGTTGAACTCTGCTTGAGCATTTTCAATGTCCACCCCGGTTCACTGGCGTAACTAGCCATCTGATCTGGGGGGGGGGGGCCTTGGGTGGGCCTGGCAGAGACGCCGATTTTTGAAAGTCCTCATAGGAGCAGGATAATATTTTTATAAATTTGTTTATAGGGGAAGGGGAAGCTCGCCGTAGGCGCCGGCGGAGGCGAAAATTTTTTCCGGATGCCACGCCTAAACACGTCTATTTTATAGTGTTTTTTCTACGAGCGTGCGAAAAGTGCTTTTTTCTGCACGCATCTTAGGCCATGAAAATATCACATCATTATCAAAATAATTATGCCTGGTACTTTTATATATGTCCTAAAATGCCTTATGTCCCGATTATTATCAAAGAATAGAGATGGAGAATAGCAACATTAGCAATATAAAGTAATAGAGCATAGAATTGACCGCAAATAACGAAAGGACAAAATACTAATACCTCCCTAATCTAAGACTAATACCACTTGTATAATTCTTATACAAAGTTGTGTAAATTTAAATTACATATGATACTGATATTACCACACGGAACGGAATGACCATTAAATACGTTTGTACTTTCGTATTCTCTACAAGAGCTCCGAGTACCCATGAGAGGTTGCTCATGGGAGCACCTGCTCCAATGCCCCCTTGTAGTTGGGGCCAGTGGCCTAGGGCCTGTTATTGCGACTTATTGGAATCTTTAAAAAAGTAGAACAGTGCAATTATATGCGATTAGCTGACTAAACCGGGCTTAACACGTTCGCGGACATCAGTACTGCTAAAGCCGTCATATTCTTCTCCCTTGCCTGGGACATGACGTCGATAGCAGTCACCCCAATTTTCTTCTATAAACAAATAACGGCTCTAGCCGTCTTTGATTCCATATAGCTACATGTATTTTCAATTTATCAGTCCTGCCACAGTATCTATTCATTCACCTCAAAATTGTCCAGTTCACGGCAAATTTTAAAACCAATTCACCATACCAAACATGGAAATACAAAAATTGACATTCCAAGCACAACATACTTTTAGAAATTGTCCGCGAATGTGTTAAATCACTTACCTAGCTAACCCAGCTTATCAGCCACTGTAAAATATACAGGGTGTCACGAAAGGTTTGTTACAAACTTCTAGGGATGATAGATCTCGTAAAAATAATAGTATATTACAATCCGAGACGGGAAATGCTTCATTACTGGTCGAGAGGTTTTATAGTTATATATATAGCTGAACCTCGAGACAGCAATGAAGTTTCCCGTCGAGAGTTGTATACTATTTTATTTTTAACCATAATTTCTTGAAAAAAAAATTCGGGGCAACCAAATGAGGTCGGCAAATGAAGAGGAAAATGAGAACGGGAAAGATTTCCCTGCTCACTTCCCGTCCTGGGACAGGTAATAGAGCAGGAAAATGAAAAGACAGAAATATGACATTTTCAAATTTTTGAAAAGTCAGTAATGACAACATTTCATATATCTTCTTAATAAACATGTGTCAAATGCTTCTTTTTCAGATATACAGGGTGTAAAACTTTGTAAAAAAATCAATTTTTACATTAATTCTCAGAAGTGCGTGCGTTTTAGAAAAAAAGTTTTTTTTTATTGATAACCTATTTCACTTATTTAAAGTACTCCTCAGCGTGTTTAAATCCAACATTCAAAAACGCGCGTGTTTTAAAGTTACCAATGACAACATCAACAACCAACAACCCAAGAAAGGTCTAAATGTCAACTTTTTAATTATTGATTTGTCAGGAGTAGGTTAGGTACTTTGTAGATAACGTCAAATAAAATGTAACAAGTTTCAAGCACAAATTTAGCATTCTACAATTATTAGTAATTTATGATTTGAACGTATACCAATAAAAAAAAATACTGTAAAGTATTCGTGGATAACTGGTCTTTAAAACACTTGCTCTATTTCGAGCACTCCGGCTGCGCCGTCGTGCTCGAAAAATTAATATCCACTTATACTTTAATATACTATTTTATTATTTTTTTTTTGTTTATTTTTAAGCAGTAAATAGCCTGGTGAAAGGACCCCGCACACCTCTTATGGGTTTTTGGTTTTCTGTCAAACTCAATGAAATTTTGATATGTGGTATATTTTGACTTACTGATAAAAAGTTCTCATAGGCCCAATCCGATACTATGAATAGTTTCCGAAATTCAGGTGGTTTAATGTCCAAGAAATGTACACATTTTATATGCATTCACATCTATCTGTAACTTATTAATGGGTCTGTCAGAGTGAATTTCATTGGTTGAAACTAGTTTTCCGACTGTTTCTGACTGTTTTCGACCAATCAAATTCGCTCTAACGGGTTTGTGATTTTTGCAGAAACAGACCTATTATTAGGTGACAGGTAGATGGTAGATGTGAATACATATAAAATGTGTACATTTCTTGGACATTAAAGTACCTGTATCTCAAAAACTAATCATAGGATTGGTTCTGGCCCATGAGAACTTTTTATCGGGGAGTCAATTTAAGGTCTAAAACATATCAAAATTTCATTGAGTTTGACAGAAAACCAAAAACCCATAAGAGGTGTGCGGGATCCTTTCAGGTAATTCTGTGCAATTTATTTTTCATTTATGTAGGTCAGTGATATTCGTGGTTCGCCTGAAATGGTTTTTAAATTTTATCTCGAAAATAAAGCAACATACGGAAAAAAATGAAGAGTCAAAAAAGTTGTATCTATAGGTGTTCCTATTCAAAAAACATATCCTAATTGAAAATAAATCAACTGGACGATGTTTTTCGTGCAAAAAACCATCCGACAGAACCTGTGGCACGTCCCTGGAATTACTGGGTCAACTCTGAGAAGTCCAAAAGATACCTCATAAAGGTTTCAACAAACTATGGAAATTTCATTTAATTCGTCTAACGTATTTCTAAGAATTAATGAAAAAATTGGCTTTTTTTTACAAAGTTTAACACCCTATATCTGGAAAGCGAAGCATTTCCGGACATATGTTTATCAGAAAAAAAACTTAATTTTTACGAGATCTATCATTCCTAGAAGTTTGTAACAAACCTTTCGTGACGCCCTCTATATCAGCAACACCGATTCACGGATTCACAGGAAAAATATTAAGGGCGGGTATTATAATAATAAAACTGCTTTGACAGTTAACTCGAAGTTAACTTTTTGAATTACATGTAATTTCAGAAGTTAACTTTAAGTTAACTCTTCAAAGTAGTTTTATAAAACCCGCCCTAAGTCAAACTCCCAAACTAATCTGTTATGTTGCTAATGCTAATTTAATGGCTTTGGTATACTGTATCACTTCTGCACATTGCAATTTGCACTGACCTTTGGGTGGCACAATTGCACACAGCCCGTTCGTTGGTGGATCGGAGGATCGGATAGGGTCGATCGGGATCGCCGCGCATTACTGTTCAAATTTAGTTGGTAATAACATAAAATTATAATAGGTAACGTAGCTTTCATAAAATACCAAATTATTAAAGTTTTTTTCTGGGGGGGGGGGGGGGGGGCTAGCGACGTCTGGGGGGCGCCCGGCCCC